AGTGATGATTAGGAGATAATGGGTGGCAGGGAGGTGACACCAGGCACCAATCCCTTGATTTTACGTTCACAAGCTCTTGTCCAGATATAAATTATAAATAATAATAATAATAATAATAATAATAATAATAATAATAATAATAATAATTGAGATAGTCTTGGATATAAACGGTAAAGAGTCACGGTTTATCTTATCCATTAGTTTTGGAAATTATGGAATTTTCAACTATCTGAAAATGATCTTAATCAAGTCGAAAGTCTTGTTTCGATCACTTTTGATATCTGAAAAAATCTTTATTGTTATTTCTGACTACTTTTTATTTTCGACTTGATATAAGATCACTTTCAGGTGGTCGGAAATTTCATAATTTTCGACAGTGTTGTAAGGGTAGATGAGGTAGCTAAGAAAGTAGAGATGGGGGTTGGGGGGTCATTATTAGGGCTTAAGTGTGGGGCCAAAGAGAGACACAAGTGAGTGGCTGAAAGTGAATAATGCTGGATAATAATAAGATCAGTTAATCATATATAACACTCTTTAAATTTTATTTTGGTCCATAAAATAGATGACCTGCAACACTTAAACTATTTCAATATATCGAAGCAGAAAGGGGAGACCTCCTTTTCATTCCTCTTCTCTTCTCACTGCATTCTGTTCTCCTGCTCATCAGCTAATATATTATTATTATTATTTTAATTTTTTATTTCTTTCATTTAATTTACTTCCCCCTATATTTTAATTCTTCTGCTAGCTAGCTGCCTCTTCTCCTAGTTTAACATAATTATTAAATTCTACCGGTTGGTCGAATAGACGTTTGAAGTACCAAGTTCAGCATTTTGCAACGTTACGAGTTGTGCATTCGTTATGGGTTATAACTTTCGACATATAGTGGTAAGCGTTTCATCTTAACACTTATTTTGTTATTATTCATTTTTAAATTTATGATCATCTCATTGGTGTGAATTGTTCTAGATTCTTTTAGTTACATTTTAATATATTAATTCCCCCATCATATTTTTAAAATAAAAATATAGAAAAAAAAAACTATTCTCATTATTATCCTTTTTAACAAATAAAATACATATTGTTCTGGGGGTTGTCTACCAAGCTTATAGATGAGCACAAGTTCTGGGAATATAAATTAATTGAAGATTAGTATTTATTAGTACTATATTTATAATTTCACTTTTGGTCCTATGACTATTGGGGTGTTATTAATTTAAGTCCACAACTTTCAAAATTAACAATTTAGTACCCTAACTATTCAATTTTTATCAATTTTAGTCAATCTAGCCAAATTATCGACCAATTGTCTCTGAAATCTTTTAATTCAGTGTTAAAATGGAAGCTAATTCTTGAACCATTGTTTGAATTAATACAAAGGCAAGTAGGATGTGGATAAAATTGACGACCATTGGCTGAAAATTGGCTTGCGATTTGGCCATACGGACTAAACTTGATAAAAATTAAATAGTTAGGGTACTAAATTGTTAGTTTTGAAAGTAGAGGACTGAAATTGACAACACTCCAATAATCATAGAATCAAAATTGAAATTAACTCTTCTATATTTTCTTAATCTCTTTCAGTCTAAAAAATCAATGTTCCGTCACGGGAGATTTGATCTTGTGACCATCCATTTGAAATAGTACAAAATAGCTGGTAAGATTATGTTAATACGGAGTACTATATTTATTTAAACATATTTCTTAATTAAATGAGTACTTTATATTGTTTTTTCTAAAGAAATTATTTTATTCATATTTCCTTCTTCAATGAATACAATGATTGGCACCTGACAATTCTGGGAGAAAGGAACTGCGGGGTAACTTTTTTATTACCTGCTAGCAATTAAAGTTAAGTAGTTAACTCGCGCACTAAAAAAAAAGATTATTATTATTATTATTATTATTATTATTATTATTATTATTATTATTATTATTATTATTATTATTATTATTATTATTATTATTATTAATGTTTATCATATATATTTGCCTTTATTTAGTTAATTGTGTTATTAGCCCTAAAAAATAATTAGTATTCACTTCGAACCGAACTGAACACGGTAGAATTGAAGCCAATAAAGTATTGATTTTAGTTTCTAAACCATAGAAATTGGAACCAATTATGTGGTTTTAGTTGGCTGTGGTTCTATTTAGAGCATCTCATTGCTTCAAAATGTTAAATTTTTATTCAATTTTTTTAATTAAAAGGATGATGTAAAAAATGGATGAAAAGTGAGAAATATCCTATTTTATTAAAAAATCACAATTTCTTTTCTCTTTAAGTTTAAAAAAACTTTCTATTTAAAAAATAATAAGAATTGATGTGCGTATCAATGCTGCCCGTGCATAAGGGTGACCGCTAGTTAGCGATCCTAACTTTTATTTTTCTTCTTTTATAAATTTTAATTTTTGCTTTTCTTTTTCCTACTTGGTACATAGAAAAACTCAAAATTAAATTTAATCATTGCAATTGCTCTTATTACCATTACCACAAATATATATAACAAGTCTTCCTCATCAAGTTGTATTTTTATTTTTTAAAACAATAGCAGTGTTGATTCGTGGGGCGTGGTTTATAGTACCAAGAAGATTAGTAATAATAGAAAATTAAGAATTGATTAAACATAAAAGTTAATAAAGGGGCAGATCACGAGAACGTATGATAAGAAAGATGATAGCAAATAGGTAGCTTGGTAAATCACATCCTATAGTGGCTACTATGTCTTCTTGCCTTTGATGGGATATCTCTAGTCCTTTGTAATTATTGTCAATAATTTCCTCTTATAACCGACAATTTTTTATTAATTACACCTTAAAAGAATAACAGGGGATATAACATCAATTTTATTAAAAAAATTATTTTTTTTACATAAAAATATAGAATCTTTCTATGTAATTTGTAAATAAATTAATTACTCTTTTAATAGTCAATTATGAGTTTGAGTCCCAGGGATAGTATTTACACTAGAGTACATATTAAAAATACTCCATTGACTATAGCTAATGGTCCCTTGACTATAGTTAAATTCACAAATTGGTCATCGACTTTCAATTTCAACCAATTAAGTCCTTAATTTTGTAATTTTAACATAATTTGGTCCTTTGTCTATTTGACCGTTTGTTGACTGTGATTTTTGAAGATATATATGTAATTTCATGGTCCATCGTCGATTTTTTAAGGTTCTGGTTGCATTTACAGACCGCACTGTTACATTTGAATCCACTGCCGAAAGCAATCTACCAAATCTGGTCGCCTTTCTTCATCCCCCTTTGGATTCAATGTAGTTGAGTTCGTACCAGAGCGAAGAAGACGATGTGTTTCCGAACCAGTGCAACGTCGTCATCCTAGAGGCCTCTACGTGCTCCGACGAGAGCTGAAGGTTCTTCTGGAGATCGTCGATCATGGTCAACAAATGATTAAATAGATGGAGGACCAAATCGTGTCAAAATTACAAAGTTAAGGACTTAATTAGTTAAAATTGAAAATCGAAGACCAATTTGTGAATTTAGCTATAGTCAAGAGACCATTTTGGATATTTACCCTTTACACTACATACTTTAGTCCCAAAAACAATTATATATATATATATATATATATATATATATATATATATATATATATATATATATATATATATAAACCATTTGATATATACAAAGTAGGCTAAAAAGTATTTACTTGAAAGACAGAATAATTTATACTTAATTGAAAAAATAAATAAATATTTTTATTTCCCATCCAGTTTACCACCCCCTACCAAAAGCTGCAGGCCTCCCTGCCAAAATTATTTTTAAAAAATTGTTATTTTTTAACAGTAATTAGCTTATAGCTGATGAATTAGATCCAATGGTTAAGCAGATAGAAATGGGGTTGGTTTATATAGTCTTAGCTCTTATAATTTGTCCTTTAAGGATGTTGAGTGGAATCTCAAATTGGGTATAAAAAATTAGGGATGAAGGGATTAATGGCAGTATTATATACAAAAAACAAATGAAATGTGCTGCCCAATTAGGGAACCAAAAACAATTAAGTAATGAAGATAATATGATCCACCTCAGCTCCTTCCTCTTCTCTTCTGCTGTTTATAAACATGGTGATAAATGGAAGAAGATCAGATCAAGCTAAAAACACAGAACACAAATCTAATATTGTCTGGATCGATCAGATCAGATTAAGAACGAAATTTAAGGATGAGTAGTGGGTCGACAAGTGGCTCCCCTTGTGGTGCCTGCAAATTCTTGAGAAGAAAATGCGTTAAGGGGTGTGTTTTTGCCCCCTATTTCTGCCATGAACAAGGAGCTTCCCATTTTGCAGCCATCCATAAGGTTTTTGGTGCCAGTAATGCTTCTAAACTGCTCTCTCATCTCCCCGTCGCCGACCGCCCCGAGGCCGCCATTACTATCTCCTATGAAGCTCAGGCCAGGCTTCAAGATCCCATTTATGGCTGCGTTTCTCACATCTTTGCTCTCCAGCAACAGGTTCCTTCTCCTTCTTCCTCTCATCTTCTTCCATTTCTGCAGATTCAACCCTAATTTTATATCTACATGCCCTTGTTACTCCCTAATGTTCGACACTGTCATCAAAACGTAGCGCTTGTTGAGCATATAGCTACAATCCAATTATCAGATTAGATTTTAGTTGAAATGGAGCACATGTTTCAATTTGATATCAGAACCAGGTCATCGGTTTAAATCTCAGCTCCACCTATAAGCGACTACGGTCCACTAATTAATGGTGATTTTGCAGGTTATTAACCTGAGAGCACAGCTGGCATCTCTGAAGGAACAAGCGGCGCAAACTTTCTGCAACTCTGGAAACCCTAATTACGACAAAAGTTGGGGAAGACAACCTTGTTATTACTCGCAGGATGTTGAGGGATGGTTGGGGTCAGGAACCCTAGAATCTGTACCCCAATTTCCCAACAACAACGTTGGAGAAATGGGGTTTTACTCAAACGGGAACCTTAATCATCATCATCATAATCTAAACCCTATCTACAACCAAACCTCGATTCTTCCGGAGGAAAACATGTCCTCGTACGCTACCAGCTTTGAAGAAGGGTCTTCTTCCATGGATTCCCTCGACATCCAAACGGCCGACAACAAGCCATGGCCGCCGGCGGCGTATCACGACGACCGCGACGACCTCCAGTCGGTGGCTTTCAGATACCTTCAACACCACTGATATGATGAACCAAGATCCTTAAATATATATATTATGGGTGGAGATCGATTAATGGTGCTCTGATATGATCTGATCTGTCAGTTTTATATTGCTAAAACACCTTTAATGACATGCATTTTCTGCGGCCATGAATCAAAACGAGGTAGCTACAAACCCTAGAAGTGTTTTTGCTCCACACAAGAGCTATATATGCTATGATCCACCCCCCCACCCTATAATTGTTTCAGGTGGTCTGATATATTATCATGTAATCTTGAATATAAGTAGTAGATTAATAATATATAGTATATTTCTCTTCATTCCTTAATGATGGACCTAGCTAGCAAATCTTAATTAGATCGTATAATTAAAGTGCAAATTAATTAAGGCTTAATTAGCTCTCATCTCTTCTTTTCAACCTAATCAAGATATATGCAGGTTGCTGCTATACATATTCAACAATCATCATCAATCAGGGCTTTTTGTGGCATAGGTTTTGGTCTTAAAAGGGTTAATAATTAGGTTTTGAATGATTTGCCAATTAATGTTAATCCCACATCTTCTAGATTCCTGCCTTTTTTTTTGAATTGTTGATTTCTGGACTGAAAAAGAAGTAGCTTTTCTTGCTTGATTGCTAGATAGACCTATGATGATGTGATCTTGTTTACCCTTGCCATGAACAGTGTTTGGTGCAGATTTGCAGACATATATGGTGCACAAGTTGCTGCAACTAGGTAACTAATGTAGGAACTAGGAAACCTAGTTGATATATATGATGTACATGTATATATATAGATTTATATATATTCGAGTTGGCGTTCTAGATTTCTTATCAGGGTTGAGGATTGATTTACCTAAAATGCATGATCTTGAGTTGAATATTAGTAGCCCGCAAGAGCATATCAGTTATGGGTGAACTCTGCCTTGTAGCCTTAGTCGTCGGCAGCCAACAAAGTACCACAAAGAAGTAAACTAACCTATGTTATCCATAGCTGGCTAACACAAATCAAGAAAGGTAATAGGCTGCTTACACTTGTAACAGTCTAACCGATTTGGTTTGAGTTGCCCCGATCAGTTGATACTTAGTTGGTGGATTGAGGGTAAGTTAGTTTGAATATTAACACATATATATACATTAATTAGTCTCCCATTAATCCCGAGGAGGGAATCATAATTCCTTCTTAATCTGACATCCTAAGTTAATATACATTACATACCCTAATTTTATTGACTAATGGTAGCTCTATAGCTGTTGGAACCAATAATGTTTGTTCTTCCTCATGCATTATATTTGGAAGGAATCTTGCTAATTAACTATTAGGTGAGAGCTTAACTCTAGTTATTAATTACAGTTTAGGATAGAATTAGCTTCTAGATTATGAGAATCAGCAGCTTCCCTGTCAGAAGGCAGGACCTAATTAAGTATATATATAATTAACCTCTTTGAAGCATTAGATTATGTGCTTTAATTTCATGCATGAGAATCAATCGTGAATCCATGCTATGAAACCTGCAAGTTATTTTGTAGTCAAATATGTCGCAGGTTGTCTGTTCTGTGTCCAATATAATGCAGTAGACTATAATACATCTGTGGGTGTCTAAACTTCAAAAGTTCAAGCATCTACTTAGTGCTTTAAGAAAATGACAAAATAGCTCCGAAAGAGGTGGTCAAATGGGTAAAACATAATATTTGGATTTTCTTTATTACCCAAAAGGAAAAAGAAAATAGCGAAATAATAATATTCTTGAAAGTTGAAACCCTGAAAATTTCTTGAAGATGGGGAGTCTGCATCAATAGTAGCTAGCATGCAAGAGTATAGTGTTTGATCTTTATATTATAATCTTTTTGCATGGACAACTCAACTAGTCGTAGAGATAAAATTTGTCACAAAAGATCTAGGATCAAGTCTCATCCGCAGTAGTGTAGGAGCAATCTTTCAAAATGAAGGGCTCCTTTAATTTACCCATCCACAAACTATCAAGTCAGGGTGTAGGGGCACTTGGAGTAGGCGATTATATTCCACCTTTTGTCACAAAAGTTTTGTGTTCTTAGCTTAGAGATGTATATCTATTTTTTCGCATAACGATTTATGATAATCCCTAGTCTAATTCGGATTTGACTTGGATTACACTAGTATAGTTTGACTCTTATTCAATAGAATGTCGGGCCAAAACTCTTTAACATAACAGCATTGCGGGCTTAACTAATCAGTTTTCAATTCTTTACCATTCAAAAATTAAACATGCCGATTTTATATTAATTAGGTTAAAGACTTACCAAGACTATGTGGTCTAATAGTACTCGAGTTGGACTTCCATTTGGAAGGTTGTGAGTTTGAACCTCAGTGGAAGTGTTATTGGTTTTTGTGTTTCAGTAGATTGAGAAAGTATATGAACAGATACTACAATGTAATATAGCCAGTAGCAAAATATAGCCAGTAGCAAAAGGTTAAAAGACTTAATGAAATGCACTGGTTCAGCTTCCACCATGCACTGACATGACGTTTGGTTGGAAGGGATAAATGAATAGTAATAAGGTGGAATAAAATATGATTTCAAATTACATTTTTTGGTAAGGAGAAATAGAATATAATTTTGAGAATGAAAAGGAAAGAATAAGAGCATCTATATCAATGGGTAATTTTACACAATTTTTTAGGTGCCACTAGGAGAGAGAGTAAAGAGAGAGAATAAGGAAAAAGAAAAAAAAAAGGAAAAAAAAAAAGAAAAAACAAAAACAAAAGGGAATTCGACGCAGCCGGGAAAAAAGAAAAAATTAAACATTTGAGCAGACACGCCAAAAGGCAGTGTAGTGCACGCGCCCAGCTAGGTGCCTGCGTTTCTAAAACGCAAGACAATTTTTGTGCTTTACTTTCCTTTCTCAATAAGTTGGCCCCATAAAAATACCTCTCTTGCAGAAATGCTACAAAAAACCACTTCCACATCAATAATACAAAAAAAAAAAATCACCCCTAGTTTTTTGCACTGTACCAAAAACCTCTAAAATTCTACTAGTGTAGATGCTCTAAATTAAAGACTAAAATGTCCCTGTGTAACAACAACAACAACAACAAATGGCCCATTTGTCAGTTTCTCCCTTTTTTGCTTTCTCACAACCACCGAATTGTAATTCATGAGGTACCCAACCAAACAGCTCGTAAACTGTGTTTTACAAGATTTCCTAAAAATTGCAACAAAATTTTATTATGTAGAGTAGAACCAATATAGTCTACTATAGTTCTGAAAGGAATGACCGGGTGGGTAGAGAATGATTATTATTTAAAAAGATCACGAGTTCAATTCTTTATATCACTTTTACATGTCATATATATATAGTTATATACACACACACACACACTTGCGTATGCATATATATTGATTTATCAAACCAATTCTGTTAAGTCGATGTGGGAGCCCTTGAGATTGAGAATTCAACATTTTGGAAGAAGAATGTAAATCAAGCACATTTTGAATTTCTTTTTATTTTTTTTTATATGACATTATAAAAATTCTTACCAACAAAAAGAGTCGCTCTTTACCGTATTTTAAGAAAAAGAAACGAAAATGGAGTTACTTTCGGGTTAGGGCTTTGGAAAGCCCTAAAGCCCACTTTTCCCTCAAGTTATTTAACGTTTGGGGCGATGCTTTATCTAATCCAAAGCTGGAGCCCAATTCCATCCATCCCTACCTATTTATTTTCTCTTTCTTACTGATAGCCTTTTGTTAATTGTTATGATATACAAGCCCCCCAATCGTTATATCCTACACCACGGCGCACATAGCACTGTGCACCGCGTGCCTCCCAAAACGACGTCATTTTGGGGTAGTGTTGGGAAGCGCGGTAGGAAGTTGCTGAGATTATGTGTATTTGTTCACAACGTTATGTGTATTGGTTCATACAGTTATGTGTATTTTTTATACAATTATGTACATCCGAATCAAAAAATTTGTGTGTATTATGTTAAGAATTGATGTGTATTATGTTAAAAGTTTATGTTTATTATGTATTATGTTAGATTATGTGTATTATCTTTTAAAAAGAGTATGTATATTTTGTTATATAATTATGTACATTCATGTATAACATTATGTGTATTCTAGTATAACATTATGTACATTCTTGAACAGCGGGTTTTTTTTTTTTAAAGAAAAAACTACTGCCATTCACTGGAGCGAGAAATTTCAAAAAAAAAATAATTAAAACGACGTCGTTTTGCATCTGGGCGCATAGTGCAACGCGCGCCGTGGTGTAGGATATAAATTGCCAAGCCCCCCAATCAAAAAGGAGTCCACTCTCTTTCTAAACCCGAAAAGGAAAAAAAAAATCCAAAATAATTTGCTCAAGTTATTTTTAATTCATTTTTTTTATAATATTAAATTTAGTATTAAGTATATAAAATTTATATATTTAAAAATTACATTAAAAAACACTATTAAACACAAAAAATAAAATGTAAAAATAATTAAAAATTACTAAAAAAATATTCCGTAATCAATAAAAATGAATTGATTTGATCAATTAATAGTAAACATGACAGATAAAATGAAACATAAAAAATATAATTTTAATTATTGTCAATATCTTATTAGTCGAGTTTGTTGTACAAATTCTTCTTTTTTGAGCTATTGTATAAGAGTGAAGACTGAGATTGAGATTATAGCACAACGATTAGTTGATGATGTGGCCAATTTGCACTCAATCAAGGGGGCATTTTGTCTATGTAACCGGTTACACATGCATATCGTCACGGGTGTTAATTTTGTAAACAATTGCTTATTGTTAGGTAAACCTTCTTAATTAAAGAAAACATTATGTAAACCTTCTTAATTATAATTTTTATTAAAATTACATTTTATTTTCTCAAAAATATTGGAGGTGGCAGGTGGCAGGTGGCAGATGGGGCCCTTTGTTTTTGGAATATCATACATACCTTGACTTGGTCCTTGCGTCATGACTTACCATTATGAAGTAAACAAACTTCATTATTGGTGCTGCGAATATGAATGTTAGCGAATAGAGCTTTTGATAATATATATATATATATATATATATATATATATATATATATATATATATATTTGATAAGTGTTTAGTTATGTTTGTTAACATACATCAACAAATTTTAGAGTTTGTTTAATAAATGAACAAAGTATAAATATTTGTATGCTCATTTACTAAGAGCTCGTGAACTCGTCTCTTAGTATTTGTTTAATAATGTTCATGAACATGTTCATTTAATAATGTTCAAGAACATGTTTGCTTAGTGTTCGTTTAAGATACTACTTTAGTTAACTTCATTTTATTTTTTTTTTATTTTTTTTTATTTTTGGTATAGTTGTTATGTTGTTTGGTTGGTTATTGTTGTGAACATAAACTATTTCTTATTCACCGGGAAATTATTATCATGAATAGGATTATGACGTTAAAAGTAAGAAAACAAACACTATTTGCCTTTTAAAAAGTCAGTATATTACCCATGGCTGCTTGCTTGTGATTTACCATATGTAAATGAGTACTGACAAGTTATGATCATATCATATCATATCACGAATCTCAAAAATACAAATCAATTTATTATGCTCGAAATTCTCAATTATTAGAAGTCCAGTTTTCTTTTCTTGGTACAACACCTCAATAATGCATCCACGTTATTAGTTTAATCCTTATATGGATAAGGAGTTTAATCTATAATAGCAATCACTTTAGGTACAATGTAAAAAGAGTAATGATGTACAGCTCAAACTCCAAGGCTAGCTTCCAAAGTGTCAACCAAGTTGCCTTCATAATTGTAGTCGTTAATAAAGGAAGTAATAAATTTATACTTCCAATGAAATTTACATTTACTATCAATCTATCATATTCTTGACAAACTCCTTACGATCCTAATCAACAATAGATTACAAGGAGGTAAACCAACCAAATTATTCTTGATCAGCTCAAATCAAAGAAGTTAAACTTGTAAATTTATAGTTACCAAGTCAACATTTATTGTTAATTATTTGTAAATATATAGTCTGTGAATTTACACACATGATTATAGAACAAGGATGATGATCGATGGTGATGATATGAGTTTGGATGGGATTTTGATATATCTATCAGTTTTTCATCATTCTAGAAGCTAAGGCTTGCAGCTCACCCAGGTCAGATTGTGAAGCTCTCTTCCGACTACTGCTTTGCATCATCTCCAGAAAACCATCTCCCTCTGTATTGTAAGCATAACCAGTTCCTCTTACCCAATCATTTTCACCCCTTCTTGAATTCACATTAAGCGTCCTTTGGGCTAACTCACCCTTTACTTGCAGCAGTTGAGCTTGCAAATAAGCCACCTACCAGATTAAACATCAAGAAAATTATAAAGTGTTCATTGTACCCAGTACTAAAATAGCATACATAATCATCCTGTTTGGTAACATAGTTAGCTTATCAGTCAGTTTTTGCTTATTTTTTGACCACTATTAACTGTTTGACTTGGTTAAACATTCAATACAAGTGTTTGAGTAATTAACTTTTTGTAACATCTTATTGCTCCAAAATGCTGAAATTCAAAAAGCCGCTCAAAACAGATTCTTTTCGATCAGTTTTTTGAGAAAATAATTTTGCATGCAATTAGCTAACAGTTAATTTACCAAACATCTTTCTATAAATCAGTTAATGCTATCAACTACTCAAACCCACTACTTATAGATTTGATCTTTTCCAGGCCTACTGATATGTATTAGCAGGGATGGGAGTAGTTAAGTAAGGGTAGTTGGTACCTGTTGTTGCAGAGCGAAGATATGGGCGACGCAGCCATAGACAGGATCTTTGATCCTTGCTTGAGCTTCGTAAGCAATGGTTAAAGCTGCCTCGTAGCGATCATGGACGGGAACATTCGACAGCAGCTTGGATACATTGCTAGCCCCGAACACTTTGTGAATGGCTGCGAATTTAGCAGCCCCCAACTGCTCCCACCGGAAATACGGCGCAAAGATGCAATCCGCACCGCACTTCCGCCGGAGAAACTTGCATGCGCCACAAGGAGAGCCCGTGCCAGTTGCCATACCAGTATACACTAGCAATGTATGTTAAAGATATTTGACATGAGATGAAGAGCAAGAATAGTTGGCTAGCTAACATTATATTATATTATAATAGAGCTAGGATGAAGATTAAAGTGTACGGTTCAAAGGGGACAATTATTGATGGCTTATGCAATATTCATATGAGACTAAGCATCTGTATATTGTATCAAATGTTGGTTATAATAAATGTTAGACATGATTTCAGCAATCTTGTCCTGTCATTTATTTAGTGGGAATCATATGGTTTATTTAGTGGGAATCAAACCAGTTTACCTTAATACTTCTTCAATTTCCAAGGTTGATGTGTCTGGATCAGTTAGCGTGGGACCTGGAAGCTCGAAACCCCTCAACATATCACCATCTAGCTGGAAAATTTTGCTCTCAATTCATCAAATTATTTGTATTATAACCCATTATCTATAATCTATAATAGTATTGTAAAATAATATTGATTGATTGATAAAAATATGCAAGAACCTGAATGCGTAATCCAAGCAATGGAGAAATTTCTTTCTTTAACTTAATCATGGATCACCCTTAGGTCCTTCTCTGAGCAAGCTGTCAGCTGATGCTGAACAGCACTGCTGGATGTTTGGCTTCAACTTTCAGCTTTGGCCTTTGGGTATCACTTCACAAGCTGAATAATAGAAAGGTTGATGGAAACTCTAGCAAAGATAAACCCAAATCTAGGATTCAAATCAAAACAAAATTTACTCAGCTACTTTCTACCTTCATCATATATTTGCCAATGTTCGAATTGTGTAGTCAATGATACTGATCCTGTTAACTTCAGGTGTCCATTACTGCTTTTGGCCTTTGTAGATAATGCGGAAAGCAATAGGTCTTCCCTTGGAGAAGTTCATATGCTACTGCTTTATGCAGGCCTTCTGAGTTTGACTTTAAGCCAACCAATTAAAAGAGGAAGGCTTGAGATAACATCTTGGAACATGACAGATGATACAAAAGAATTGGCCGACTCTATAACAAAGGGTCTTGAGGAATATGCACACTGAAAAAGAACTTTTGAACTGATTATGACGGCTGAAAAGGGTTCCATAATGTAGATCCAGGAAAAAATCTTAGATGCCACATTGCCACTACTCAAATGGTTCATCTATGGGGAAGTTGCATCAAATAAGGCAGAGGAGGTTGCTCACCTAACTGCAAATTGGTTCTTAGGTACAAACTATTTTCAGCAGCAACGGTGACCTAATGGAAAATAACATGACCATTGATAATTGAATGTGGTTTTTTCTTGATATGAATTGATTTGGGAAGAAAGCTGAAACCTTGAAGGACATCCAATTCGAGCTTCAAGTTTAGGAGTATGGCCACAGTTAGAAGCTTCTCAAACGGTATGTCATTAGAGGTTCAGTTGGGAGGACTCCTACATGGCATGATGAATTATCTGCATGGATGTAATAGCCTAATTCTGGTTGAGGCAGATACTATTGCCAAAAGTGCCCCAACCTAGATAGACTATACTGATGACATGAGAACAGATTCAAAAAAACTGAAGAGAACCTTCCATCAGAAGAAGTCATCGAATGCCCCCTCCCGGTCACTTTCCCAGTTGTCATATCCTGCAAAATGCAACCATCAAGAGAAATCAAGTATATAATAAGGTTTTTTTAAGGACATTGAAGTAAATGAAATAGACATCATTATCAAGGGAGCAATGGGGAAATTTCACAAGATCAATACGGAAAGAAAAAGTATCATTACAGGGTGGGGCTAGCATTTTTAAGGTTGGGAGGCCTAGGAGAGATATACAGATGGATTATAGCCTAATTAGGACTAAAAAGTTTAAGTGACTAGGCAAATTGGACAGACCTGCTATTTCAGCTGCTGAAAGATCCTGGACTATAAGCTGGAAAGCTGGATCAGGGGAAGAATAGTTTGCTGATGTTGTAGCATCACCATGAGAGTCTCTAGCAAGGACTCTTGAAGTTGAACTTGAGTTGGATGAAGCATTTAATATCACTTTCAGCTCTGAAAATTGATCTGAGATGCTGTAAATCATCCTGAGGCACACTAGATCATATCCAGTATTAGTCATATGGTACAGCTATTTATATGTAACTAATACAATCAATTGATTATCTTGGTTGGTAAAACACCTAGCTATTTTCAACTACACTCAATCCCAAACTATGACCTAATCATAACAATCTAATTATAAGGAAAACTAAAAATTACTTGACAGCCCAGAACCAAAATTCTACCTGTTCAATGATTCTTCAAGTTGGTAAACTCTTCTTTCAGCTTTTTCCAACTTCAGACTCTTCTCTTCACTTGATTCCACAGCTTTTGCACATTTCCTTTCACAATCATCTGCCCGTTGCTTTTCAGATTGCAATAGAACCTGTCAAGAAATATTAGCAAAGACAACAATTTCAAATAAGCCTATAAAGAGGAAATGCTATCATCATCGTTTTGAAGGGATACTGTGGTGGCCAACTGACCTTTAATCTTTCCACTTCTGCAGTTAAAAAATTGATCTTATCTGTATCTTCAACAGGGACTGGAGTTTCCTGGCCCTTTGCCTCTTCCAAATCTGTCTGCACAAAATCGATAACTTCTGTTAATGGGATAGAAAGATAAAGACTGAGAATCAGCAGAATAAATGTTTAGTATTTTTAATCCTTTCTCAAACTTCACATGACACATAAGTTCTTCAACCTTTTGGTCAAGTCTATCCTTTGCTTCTTCAACTGCATATGTGTCCGGTTGTCCAAGTTTATCGGTTGCTTCTTTAACAACACCTTTGTACTGTTGTTCAAGTTTATCAGTTGCTTCTTCAATTGCACCTTTGTCCTGTTGTTCAAGTTTATCAGTTGTTTCTTCAACTGCACCTTTGTCCCGTTGTTCTAGTTTATCAGTTGCTTCTTCAACAACACTTTTGTCCTGTTGCTTAAGTTTATCAGTTGCTTCTTCAACAACACTTTTGTCCTGTTGCTTAAGTTTATCAGTTGCTTCTTCAACAACACTTTTGTCTTGTTGCTTAAGATTATCAGTTGCTTCTTCAACAACACTTTTGTCTTGTTGCTTAAGTTTATCAGCTGCTTCTTTAACTGCACCTCTTTTGTGCTGTTCCTTAAGTTTATCAGTTGCTTCTTTAACTGCACCTTTGTCCTGTTGTCTAAGTTTATTATTTGCTTCTTTGACTGAACCTCTAACCTGTTGTTTAAATTTATTAGTTGCTTTTTCAAGTGCACTTTTCTCCGGTTGTTTAAGTTTAGCAACTAGTTTAGCAATTGCTACTTTAACTGAACCTTTGTCCTGTTGTTCAAGTTTACCAGTTGCTTTTTCACCTTTACCTTTATTGTCTTGTTCAAGTTTATCATTTGCATATTCAACTACACCTTTGTCCTGTTCTTCAAGTTTACCAGTTGTTTTTTCACCTTCAACTTTATTCTCTTGTTCAAGTTTATCATTTGCATCTTCAACTACACCTTTGTCCTGTTGTTCAAGATTATCAGTTGCTTCTTCACCTTCACCTTTATTCTTCTGTTCAAGTTTATCATTTGCATCATCAACTACACCTTTGTCCTGTTGTTCAAGTTTATCAGTTGCTTCTTCACCTTCACCTTTGTTCTCTTGTTCAAGTTTATCATTTACATCTTCAACTACACCTTTGTCATATTGTTCAAGTTTGTCCGTTGCTTCTTCACCTTCATATTTGTTCTCTTGTTCAAATTTATCATTTGCATCTTCAAAAGCACCTTCGTCCTGTTGTTGAAGTTTGTCAGTTGCATCTTCACCTTCACATTTGTTCTTTTGTTCAAGTTTATCAGTTGCACCTTCAAAAGCACTTTTGTCCTGTTGTTCAAGTTTATCAGTTGCTTCTTCAACTGCACCATTGTCCTGTTGTTCAAGTTTATCAGTTGCTTCATCAAGTGCACCTTTGTCCTGATGTTTAAGTTTAGCAATTGCTTCTTTAATTACACCTTTGTCATGTTGTTCAAGTTTATTAGCTTCTTCTTCTTCAAGAGCATCTTTTTTCTGTTGTTTAAGTTCAGCAATTGCCTCTTCAACTGAACCTTTATCCCGTTGTTCAAGTTTATTAGTTTCTTCTTCAAGAGCACCTTTTTCCTGTTGTTTAAGTTTAGCAACTTCCTCTTTAACTGAACCTTTGCGTTGTTCAAATTTATCAGTAGCTTCTTCAAGCACACTTCTTTCTTGTTGTTTAAGTTTAGCAATTGCTTCTCTAACTGAACCTTTGTCCTGATGTTCAAGTTTTTTAGTTTCTTCTTCAACTGCACTTATGTTTTGTTGTTCAAATTTTTCATTTGCTTCTTCAACTGCACCATTGTCTTGTTGTTCAACTTTATTAGTTGCTTCTTCAACTGTACCTATATTTTGTTGTTCAAGTTTTTCATTTCCTTCTTCAACTGCACCTTTGTCATGTTGTTCAACTTTATTAGATGCCTTTTCAACTGCACCTTTATCCTGTTGTTCAAGTTTATCATTTGCTTCTTCAACTGAATCTTTGGTCTGTTGTTCAACTTTATTAGTTGCTTCTTCAACTGCACCTTTGTCATGTTGTTCAACTTTATTAGTTGCTTCTTCAACTACACCTTTGTCATGTTGTTCAAGTTTATCATTTGCTTCTTCAACTGAACATTTGGCCTGTTGTTCAACTTTATTAGTTGTTTCTTCAACTGCATCTTTGTTCTGTTGTTGAAGTTTATCATTTACTTCTTCAACTACACCTTTGTCCTGTTGTTCAAGTTTATTATTTGCTTCTTCAACTGCATCATTGTCCTGTTGTTCAAGTTTGTTATTTGTTTCTTCAATTGCACCATTGTCCTGTTTTTTAAGTTTATCATTTGCTTCTTCAACTGCATCATTGTCCTGCTGTTCAAGTTTATCATTTGTTTCTTCAGCTGCACCTTTATCGTGTTGTTCAAGTTTATCAATTGCTTCTTCAACTGCACCTTTATCATATTGTTCAAGTTTATCATTTGCTTCTTCAATTTTACCATTGTCTTGTTCAAGCTTATCTTTTGCTTCTTCAACTGCAACTTTGTCCCGTTGTTCAAGTTTGTCATTTGCTTCTTCAACTGAAACTTTGTCCTGTTGTTCAAGTTTATCATTTGTTTCTTCAAATACACCATTGTTCAGTTGTTCAAGTTTAACATTTGCTTCTTCAACTGCAACTTTGTCTTGTTGTTCAAGTTTGTCATTTGCTTCTTCAACTGAAACTTTGTCCTGTTGTTCAAGTTTATCATTTGTTTCTTCAACAACACCTTTGTTCTGTTGTTCAAGTTTATCATTTACTTCTTCAACTGCACCTTTGTCCTGTTGTTCAAGTTGATCATTTGCTTCTTCAACTGCACCTTTGTCCTGTTGTTCAAGTTTGTCATTTGTTTTTGCAACTGGACCTTTGTCATGTTCAAGTTTACCAGTTGTTTCTTCAACTGGACCTCTGTCCTTTTGTTCAAGTTTACCAGTTGCTTCTTCAACTGCACCTTTGTCCTGTTGTTTAAATTTAGCAATTGTTTCTTTAATTGTACCTTTGTCTTGTTGTTCAAGTTTATCAGTTGCTTCTCCAACTGCAAGTTTGTCTTGTTTAAGTTTACCTATTGCTTCTTTAATTGCACCTTTGTCACCACCTTTGTCAGCACCTTTGTCTTGTTGTTCAAATTTAGCAATTTTTTCTTTAAATGCAAGTTTTGTTGGTTCTTTAATTGCACCTTGGTCTTGATGTTTAGGTTTATCAATTGCCGCTTTAAATACGCCTTTGTCCTGTTGTTTAGCTTTATCAATTGCTTCTTGAACTGTACCTTTGTCCTGTTGTTTAGCTTTTTCAAGAACTATACCTTTGGTCTCTTGTTCAAATATTCTTTTTGCTTCTTCAACTGTGTCTCTTGAAGCCTTGAAATATTAAAAAAAAAAAAAAAAAAAAAAGTATGTCAAACATCTCTAGAAACAAGGTGATTTCTTTTAAATAATAATAATAAAGAAAACAATTGAAGCAAAGCTAAGCAGACATTATCACTAAGGTAATTTAAATGGTGTGGTCCTACCTTCAATTTTTGAAGTACTCTCCTTGCATTCCTTCTCCTCCAATTGCATTGTGTTATAACAGATGCCCTTATAAGTCTCTTGTAGTTCACAATGGCTCTAATACAACGCCAATGGGCCTGCAGAGATGATTTTCAATTAATGAGGGAACAGAATTCGAGCCCCTCTGAACCAAAAAACAAATCAATAACTAACTTGTATGGTAACTGCACACTTCTTTCGATTTTTGAAATTCTTGAATGCAGCTATTGCTCGTGCCCTTCTTTGAAGAATAACGACGGTGGATTTAATCTGCTGGTAGGATTTCCTAGCCAAGTGTGCGCGTAAATGTTTCTGGATTTTAAGAGAACAGACCTCCATTCTCATATTTGCATACAATTTGCAAGCAAGTTTAGCTGTTAAATGAAAGGAAAGCATGGATAAATAAAAAGGTGAAAGCCATCACAGATTAATATAGCATGTGCTATTTAGATCGGAATCATGCTGAAGCGGAAGCAAATGCCATCTTCTCTAACATTAAATTTAAAACAATAAAAGGAAACATCAATACAATCATGATTCTCCCCCTAATTAGCAACAAAGCTACATGACATGTCAACATTATAGGAAAAAGTCCTCAAATGAAAGGTTCAAACCTCTGCATGAAGACTGGATAGAAATCGCAGCCCTTTGCAAAGCAAGAAAGTGTCTCCGAGCAGTACGAGTTTTAATTTGCCCTTGAATTATCTTGACTGCATTGTTGAGCTTTTGTAACCTCTTAGCCTCCAGTTCAACCATCTCACTAGCTCGCAGAAAAACTTTTGTTTTACCAATCTGCATATTTATGAAGGAAAAGTGACTAGCTCTAGTTAGTACATGTGGTTCACAATTCGGGAACCTAGACCACATGAAGGAAAACAATGAAACAAGTGAGAACCTACAACCCTTGTACCAATAACAAGTGACTTGCAATAGAATAAACTCCCAGTTCCCTCATCAGATAGCAGGGGGGAGCACCACTCTATGCAAGTAATATCAACTAAAAGAAGTTGTGATTGGATTCATACGACAAAAACAATGAACCATCCAGACTCATTCTAGAAAAAACCTCAACTGATAATCAATTCCAATTGCTAAAATTATCAAAGCAATATCTTAAGAATCATAATAGTTTTTCATCTTTCTTTTTTTTTTTTTTTTTTTTTGTTTTTCACGCCTCACAAATTCAAAATGACCAAGCATACATCTGGCTGTTTGTCTGCTAAAAATAATTGTAATCCAAACAAATACGAATCAAATACACACAAAAAATATTTTGGTCATCTAATATTCCATATTTATAAGATTACCTGACAAGATTCAAGTCCCGTTTTTACCAAAATCTTTTTGCAGGCATCTTTTTCATCATTACTGCCCATGTAAAAGTGAAATTAAGATGTCATATAAGCCAGGTAGCAGGAATGTGAACTGGCCTAGAATTACAACACAACTGACTTTGCAAAAAGATATTCTTTGAATGATGAGAACAATAACTATACTTACATCCCTTTCAATGCTTCTGGAGCAATAATACCAAACCGTTTAAGAAATTCAGAGAATGTTTTACGCGAAGGGTAGCCAGCACAACTAATTTTAACTGCTTCTATAACTCCCTGCAATATGGAAAATGCAACCAAATAATTAAACAGTTCAGAGTGATGGAAATTCTTTATGTGCAAATCTCAATGTGTACTCACACTGCAACGAAGTTGATGCAAAATGGTGGGATTCTCAAAAATGGAAGATTTTAGAGCATTATTTGGCTTCATACATCTGATATAATGAGGTTCAGTAGAACTTAGAACCTCCATCAATCGTTGGAGTTGTAGCTTCAGCAATCAAATTGAAACAAATTATTGATAGCAATTGCTTTGGTGGAAAAAATATTAATGTCTATCAGAAATCTAACAGAACTGTCATTCATACTACCTTAAAGCGAGAACCGATAGACGAGAACTTGGAATTTTTAGCCGTCTCCTCAGGAGGTGGGAACAGTCTTACCACAAATGGGCACTTAGAAGAACTTAACAAATCTTGATGTTCAGGAACGATATAGTCTTTGTTCTTTTCTAAAAATTGATCAGACTGGTATAGAACCTGATAAGATGCCAGATCAACTTTTTTCTTGACAATGCATCATGTCCCAAACTGGAATATTTGATTGAAATTTTTAGACAGTAAATAGTCAGTGTACCTCTCCAGCATAATGAGCAATTTTGAATTCAGTACGAGCCAGTTTTGGTTTAATAAAGCGTTTGTGCTCACTGAAACTCTGATAAAGCTTTTGTGAAAAAGTTTCATGAGTTGACTTGGGAAACATACTGGAAACAGGATAAGTCAATAAAGAAAGAGCATCAATACAAGAGTCTTTGCATATACATTCCAGATCATAAACAGAAAATAAGGCAACCAGTGCACATGACACTAAAGTTCATGAACATACCATGTTTCATCAAGAAGAGCAATGATCCCTCCAGGTTTCTGATAATAGCAATTCATGAAAACATTATGTCAACTGGCAGACTAATGCAGGTATAGTAGAACATTATGTCAAGAATAAATATATTATCCTTAAGAACTTAATACAGGAAATCAGCCAATGATGAAAAATTGCATTAGCTCTGCAGTACTCACTTCAAAATTAGAAGAAGATTCCTACATAAAAATCAACTTCATTTTTAATGGAAAAAGGCCAAAGAGAGATTTTGGTCAACTCAGGGACTAGAAAATGTATGGTGAAGTTAAGTCCCTTTAACAGCTCCATTTTCAGGCAGCTTGCTTAACCTGACGTCTATGCAATTTTCCAGTTAAGGGATTAGGGACAGAATAGCAGAAAAATAAATCACTCTTTTGTAACATATTAAATGCCAAGTTATCCCTGATCCATCTAATCGCTAAATGACATTTTTGCTTAACATGTCCAACTATTTTTTCCTTTTGTTTTTTGAAATTCCAATTCTTTCCTTATCATAAGAAGTCTTCCATAACTATATGTCAATGCAGTTATATGTACTTCTGGTTGTGAACAGGATTTCTTCCTTATGAGTAACATATTATTATAATGGATAAGGAATAAATATAAATATACAAATATATCAGATAGTGAAGCTTCACTACTAAAATGAAACGGAGGAACCTTTTCAATAAGATCTAGAACATCTCGGTTATCAACAAATTCTATATAGCTCCAATCAATCTCTTCCTTTTTGTATTCCTCCTGCTCCAACTTGAACACATGCTGGAATGAATCGCAGAATTTCAGTGACTCTTTTGACAAAGTGGAACAAAACGATTATGATACACCAGAAACAATACCTGGTTAAAATGTTGCTGCAGCTTCTCATTTGTATAATTAATGCAGAACTGTTCAAAGCTGGAGATACCAAATAGAGTAAGCTAGAAGTCCATGAAACAGCATATCAGTTGAACAGATTTGTTCTAGTGTAAAATCCAATACCTACCTATTATTTTTAAAACTCTCAAAACCATAAATGTCAAGAATGCCAATTAGGAACTTCGATTTTGGATCTTGTCCAATCGAGTTATTAATTCTTTCCACCAACCTATAGAGAGTCAGAAAGTGTGCATCTTAGTGTCACAGTAACTTGCAACACATTATGTAAACATTGTGAACATGACAATATCAATGATACCATTCAAATAAGCGAGAATATAAAGTCTTTGCTAATCCATCCCTACTAATTGCCGCACCATCAGGATTGAGACTTTTCTTGATGACTTCACGGGCAATCACTGCACGTGTCAGTAGTACATCTTCAAGTGCTTGAAGGTCACACCTGACAAAAGAATTGCTCCTAGTAAAATGATTTGATCATTAAAAAATAAAAGGAAAATAGTACAAAGAAATAAATATCAAAGTCATGATACATAAGAAGCTCTGATGTTGTTTGAAGATGGAATTTTGATTTCTCGTCCTTAAGAACTGCTGAATCAGTTTGTTCATTCTTAGCAAATTCAATGTTTCCAAGATGAAGAATGGCTGCCACAACACTAAAAATTGCTTCCTGGGATGGAAAATATAGTTACTTGCAGGCTTTAAATGCAAAACAAAAGAGAAAAAGAACAGATAAAGCGATATTAGGACAATACTTGTTCTTCCTTACTAATTCCGACAATATCCATAGCTCTTCTCGTTCCAAGATAATCATGAGTATCATGTTCACCAACTAGTTCATAGCAGTTTGATTGATTCAAGTAATGAAATGATTTAGGACTCCCAAGCTTGTATCTTTTAATTTCCTGTTAAGATTTGAAACTTTCAAAGAACATAGTTTGCTTAACCAAGAAAATTACAAAATAATGAGAGATTGAGGGGTGCAGGGATCAGGAGGAAGCAGACTACCTCTTCTGGTGCCTCACAGAGAATATAGAAACAGTGATAGTTCCGCTCAGGATCTGATAATTGGCAAACTCGAGATCTCTCTAGGAGATAAGTTCTAATAGCTGCTCCTGATATTCTTCCATTCATATCAAATTGAAGCTCAACAAATTTTCCAAAACGGCTGCAACAATATAGCTGAATCAGACAGGGATGATTTTTTTTAAAAAAGAAAGTGAATGAATCAGTCAGTGATTCAAACATAAGTGTTCAAAACCTGACCTGGAATTATTATTTCTAACAGTTTTAGCATTGCCAAATGCTTCAAGTACTGGATTTGACTGCAATTTTGTAAGTAAAATCATGAGATGAAGACTAAATTTAAATGGCCAGTAAGGATAGCCTTTCAAAGGGAAATTACAAGCTAGCAGCTTCAAGATGCTTTGCTAAAATATGAATTGTAAGCATATAAAGCTTTAAATAAACATGCAAAGTGTTTCACTAAGTAAGGAAAGCATAATGACATTATCTGCAAGATATTCACAATTTAGAAACCAACTAAAAAATTTGGGAAGGCATACAAATAATCCACCATCTGAAATCTTGTAGTTAATCTTCTCACAGTTTAAGTCTGGCAGATATCCTGTTGGCATACTTATGATGATTACCTTATATTTCTAAACAGACAATGTGTGATGATACTTCAAGCCCAGGAAATATGCTAAATATTTTAGATAACCTCACTGATTCTTGAAATGTTTAAGGCCTTAAAGAGTTGTAAAACAGATGCTGGAATCCATTGAGCTTACCTCTAGAACTTTTTGTTCTACACTCCGCCCTTCAGACCCTTTTTGTCCTCCCAGATAGGCAAGGTAACGCATGAGCATTTTCGTAGTTTCTGTTTTACCAGCACCACTTTCACCACTTACCAAGATAGAGTTATTTTTTCCCTCATTGATCATTGCCCTGTTTTATTTCAAGTGAGTGCTGCATCAATTTTATGAAAGAATCACACATGGACAAAAATCGACTACAGAATTACCTAAAAGCAATGTCAGCAATTGCAAAGACATGAGGACTCAATTCCCCTTGAGGTGCTCCTCTGTATTGTTCCATCATACCGACATCATACAAATGAGGCAGTTTTTGGAATGGATTAATTGCAATAAGAATACTTCCGGTATAAGTCTGCCAGAATGTCAGAGTATGATATAATATTATGACAGAGCCGCCCATTGCTGCAGTAATTCATAGCTTCTTCTCACAATTGTGAATACAAATGAAACAAACTAAAAAAATATAGCCATCATCTTACATAAATTTTGTTCAGATGGTATCTTGTTGACAAATTTTGCAAGATCCCAGGTTCATGGAAATATGAAAGCTTGGTCATGTCTTCAACCTCAGCTTCAAGGCTATCCAGTTCTTTGAGATAAACCTTTGATAATTTTGTTTGAACCTGGATGAATTCTATAGATCATCAAGCTAGCTAATGAACCTAGTGATTATTCTGCTGGAAATAACATTTCCAGTTCAATGAGATGACATCCAAAGACTATAAGCATGACTAAAACACTGAATTCAAAAGAGAGCAGAAGAATACATCCAGCTCTCTTCACAAAAATATCCTTCACTTCCCTTTTGTTCGATGTTTTCCCTCCTACTTTTGCTGAATACTAGACAAATATTTCAATACATCACTTGATGCATTTCGGAGTTCGTAAGATAAACGACCACAACAAAAGTTTAAATTTCCCGAATCAAATCACGAAAAGCTTTACATACCTTCCTTTCATCAGATGTTTCGACCTCAACTTGCTCTCCTTTAATATTCGTCACTACTCCTTCAACATACGAAACCTTTGGATCCTCGACCCAAACCCGGGAACCTACTACGATTTTTAATTTGGTTCCCTGCACTGGGATTGAGACTCAATCAGAATTTTGAATCTAAAAGCGTACACTTATCAATCTACTAAGAAACAAGTGCAAACGCGATCGAGATAGAGAAAACACCAAAAAAGATACATCATAAACCATGACAAACGTATATTGGTAAACAATTGAAAGAGAGACAAAAACATACCATTTCAACTACATCGAACTTACTTTCTCGATTACAGTCTTATCGGTGCAACACCGGCACCCGAATGTCCAAATAACCAAATCGGAAATTTGAGTGATCGGCGAGAATTTAAGCGGAAAAGATTGGATCCGATCGATAAGAAAGAGGCGTCGACCGGCGAGGAATACGATCAATGGCGGAGAGGATTCGGTGTGGTTAGGGAATGGGCGTGATTAGGAGACGATCGCGCTCGGTGTAGTATGTTGCAGACATTTTTGGCGGGGGAGAGGAGAGGGGATTTCTTAACGGCTTTATATAATTTTGCATTTTACTATAAGGATAATGATAAATGATAAATTTTACTTCATTTTTAAAAATTATTTTTTATTTTATTTTTAGTAATTGAATTTAATTTAGATCATCAATTTAAAATATGTTGTATAATTTTAAATAGGATTACAAATGAAATTTTAAAATTAAAAATGTCCACTTTTAATAGTTGATTAGTAAATTTTGTCTATTTAAATGAGTGAAAAAAAATATAATAATACAATGAGTAAAATTGAAATTATCTCGACAAAATGTTATTATTACTCTTTAGTATAACAATATTATTACCTCTGTTTCGTCTTACCTGTCATGTTTACTATTTATTAGTCAAACAAACTATTTCTTCATTCTTTATTTTTTTAAAATAAATTTTAATTATTTTAAAATTTAATTTTATGTTTAATAATACTTTTAATGTAGTTTCTAAATATATAAATTTTATATATTAATACTAAACTTAATATTATGAAATTTTGAATTAAAATAACTTCAGTCAAACCTCGTTAACCGAGCTAGACAAACAAAATGGAACAGATGTAGTACTTCATTAGTTTCGTTTTATATGTATGTTTAGCTAGTTAACAAAATGGGACGACGGAGCCAATCTGCCATGATTTGCAATCTTTCTAATTAAGAAAGCTTGCAAGGCCACACGACTTGCAGAGTTAAACGCATGATACAAAATGATTGGATAACGTATAAATATATAAATACAAGTTTATAATAATAATAATAATAATAATAATAATAATAATAATAATAATAATAATAATAATAGAAAATGGTCAAATAGCCCCATAAACTTTACATCAAAGGTCAATTAGCTCCCTAAACTTTACAAAGTGCAATTAAACCCTCAAACATGTCAAATTGGGTCAATAAAGCCAAAAAATTGGTAAATAACCTGTTATTACAAGTCATTTCAATTCCGACGACCGACGAAAAAAATCTGGTCACCGGCAACTAAATCCGCCTTCTCCAATGGAGAAGTCGACCAGACTGACGGATTTTGTCGTCGGTGACCGAATTTTTTCGCCGATTGCCGGAATCCGTTGCCGAAATTGAAATGACCTGTAATAACAGGTCATTTACCTACTTTTGTGCTTCATTGACCCAATTTGACATTTTTGAAGGTTTAATTGTACTTTTGTAAAGTTTAGAGGGCTAATTGACATTTGGAGTAAAGTTTAGGGGTATATTTGACCCTTTTCTCTGATAATAATAATAGTAAAGTTGGGATAGCTCAAGTTGTCACCTAATCAACATTTAGTCTTGCTACCAACTATAAGCGGACCTTTTGTGTTTAGAAGTGCATATATAGGCGATGGGGCCGGGAAACTTATAATAACTTGGGCAACTTGAAATTTACATTTTTCATGGGCTTTGGGACAAGTTTGTGGAGTCTAATGCCTCTTACATTAGGTATAACTCACAAAAGTTTAGAGTACGTTATATTTATCTTCTTCATGGGTCTTGGGTGTGTTTATGGAGTCTGATGCCTCTTACATCAGGTACAACTCAAGAAAAAGTTTAAAAGTTTAGAATAAACTAAACTTTAGATTTGTACGTTATTATAGGAACCACACATAAGAGGTTTGAACATGTGACATTCCATTTGGGAGAATTACAAAGGTGTCAGTTGAATTATAAGCTATTTAACAGAAATAAGTTTAATTTTATCATATTTCAATTAAAAGTTATCATAATTATATTTAATAATTAGGATAAAGTACAAATAAATCACTGAACTATTTGAGAAAAAGCAATTAAGCCACCGAACTCAAATAACTCCCAAATAAGCCACTGAATCTGGAAAAAAAAAAAAGAGCAATTAACATTTTTAACAGGTTAACTCCAGATTTTTACTGATTGGATCGCCAAATATTTATTTTATTCACTTTTAAAAAAAATTATAATCTATTTACATAGTAATATATTTAAAGTAATTATAATCAAAATAGTTTTGGCTTGTCTATATCTAATTTATTTATTTATTTATTATTAATTTTTAAACAAAAGATCCAATGAAAAAATAATAATAAATAAATAAATCAATAAAACCTCGACAAGACAAAATTATTTTAATTATAATTACTTTAAAATATATTACTACGTAGGTGGATTATAATAAAAGAAATGTAAATAAAATAAACATTTGGCAATCCAGTCAACAAAAACCTAGAGTTAACCGGCTTGTTAAAAATGTTAATTTTTTTTTTTATGAGTTCAATAGCTTATTTGCTATTTCTTTTCCGGGTCCAATGGCTTATTTAGGGCTATTTGAGTTCGATGGCTTAATTGCTGTTTCCCAAATAGTGCAAATGACTTATTTATACTTTATCCCTTAATAATTTATCAACTTGTCAAACTCAGTAACCCAATCAATTAATAATTATTTATCACACACCCCATTATTTTTAGATTAGATTTTACTTCAGTTATAGTTCTAAAAGTTTTGGATCGATTGGCTCAACTACTTGACACGTACGTTATTAGATTACCTTACATGTGCGCCATGTCTTGCCGTATGGCCCAAGGTTGGATGGGGAGGAGGAGCTCAGTCATGGCCGCGTGATTGAATTTTGAACATTATAACACCAAAATTAAAAAAAAAAAAAATACTCTTTATAGTATGGTATGGTTTAGACTTTATACACACTACATTATATTGTATCAATTTTCTAAAAGTCTAAAACCTTAGATTTTTATAATATAAGGAATAAAGAATTCAACCAGTCAATAGTAGAGTTTTTGAACTTTCCAAATACACATCTAATTAACACTCGTACCTCATATTTGACTAATATAGATTATAGAGTATAGTTTGTGTATTACTGTATTAGTATGAGTTTTGGTTAAATCTACGTACCCTAATCTTATGAAAAAATGTTTTACTCATCCCAAATGCTCTGTCGGGTCAGGGTGTGGGGACCCCTTAGAGTTGGGGTTCAGCCTTTTGGAAGAATGAAAAAATGTTTTACTGTATTGGAGTTTTGGTCCCTCTTTATCATCTATTAATGGCATAGAATTGCAAATTACAATTTAATTTTGTCCATGTATCCTAATAAGTAATATGCTCTATACATGTAATATAGAAATTACTAATATAAGATGCTCCGAAAGGAGTGATGAAGCATGATTCTTGTATCAAAACATCGTGTTTAATTATTAATTGTCAACACCCTATAGTCGAGTAAATCAATAAGCTATCCTCGTCCCAACTTGATGGTTTTAGAATTAAAGTTTTTTTTCGGTGACAAAGAATATCCATAATCACTACCCTAATGGATGTGTACTATATAAAATAATAATATGCAAATCACATTTAAGAGGTAAATACAATTAAAAATATTTTAAATGACGAGAACAACCCTTAATCACTACTATACTAAAGTTTTCCTAGCTCCCATGCACCCTGACTCGTTCAATCTTCAGTTTCAGTCTCAAGCCCTTTTGCGGTCAACAGTCCAAGCTCTTACGAAGTCGCAACATATGTAACCAAGAAAGTTCATCACACTCAACGCGATTATTCACCAACACATGTATATATACACATACTATATATACATACACACATGACACATCTCTTTATATATACCCTCCATTATATATCATATATCTCCACAAACATCATAAACACAATAACAACAACGTAAGACAGATCGAGCTGATGATAAAGATGGCAGCAAGATACGCTATTCCCAGAACTATTCTAGCCTTACTTGTTGCTGCGATGATGATGAGCATTAATAATACGACATGCGAAGCTACTAGGGTTCTTGATGAAGACGAAGAAGAATGGATGATGAGGAAAGAACAGCCGCGGCGGCTGCAGCCGCAGAAGCCGGAGCTTCTGTTGGCTTCTCTCCAGTGGCGCGATGTTACTCCGCCGGGATCAAATCCCGGCACGAATGCCGCCACTCTCGGCACCAAAAACTTCGCCGCCGGTAATACCAACACACATGTTCATCACGGTCGCCGCCCTCCTCCGGCTTCTTCTTCTTCCGCCGCCGCGGCGTACCCGCGCCACACCATCCAATTCGGCGTCGCGGAGGATGCTTCAAGTTAAGGCCTCTCCCGCCGCGGCGCCGCCGGTGCGATAAGAATAGTAGGACCGGAAAATATTGGCGACCACTTCCACAGAGTTGTACAAGAACTAACTTACCTATTTTTTATTTATCGGAACTTACTATTTTTCCCCCAAAAATAGGAATCTTTATTTTATTTGCTAGGAATTGTATAAAATAAGGGGATGCTAACTTATTATATTGTATATAGCTGAAAAATTGTAAATCTATAAATATCTTATTTTATACCATTTTTTTGGTTGAAACATTACATTTTTTTTTTAAATTTCTTGGAGGTCTTTAAATTTTCTTTTTATAAAGTTTTTAAAGATACATTTTAAAAAAAAATAGAGTAAAAACTGGAATTATTCGTATAAAAAAATAATTTTGGGTACATACACATAAAATCTTAAAAGTAAAAGAAATTAACAAACAAAAGAAAGATACACAAAAGCAATGTTATATTTGGTTCTCCAAAGTTTTTGGAATGCTTCAAACTCTACATGTGCATCTAACTTTAACTTTTGGATCAATACAAAAATGAAAAAAAAAAAAAATACTTTGAATACTTCAACGTGTAGGTGTGGTGTGTTATACTATATATATATATATATATATATATATATATATATATATATATATATATATATATATATAATATGGACCAGGTTTATATACATGCACTTAATAGTTTATATGTGTCTATAAATAAATTGAAGGCACATAACATGATAAATACAAAAACATAATATGTTAACTGCATACACATAATTTGAAGATCAATTTGGATCAAAGTTCACAATGCAAGGTAACCATAATTCGTGGTATAATTTGACGTGGTGTCTCGGGTCGGATCCCAAACTAATATTTTAATCATTCCATCAATTCAAATTTGTTGAACCAAAAAAAAAAAAAGATCAAGAACAAAGACGGAAATGAAAGAACACAAGTTTTACATGGTTCGACAGTGTGTAATTACATTACTATCCTTAATTTTAACTCGTCTTCAATTCGTTGCCGGTAAACATAGCTGGACTGATCTTCCATGTGTAATTACATTACTATCCTTAATTTTAACGGAGGTTTCACAGTCAAAGAGATGGAGGATGAAACCGAACAAAAATTGTAAAGTTGAGGACTTAATTTGGTAATGATGATAGTCGAGGACTAAATAAGTAGTTTCGTAATAGTCGGAGGACCAAATCGGTTATTATTAACTCATTTAAATTCAATTCATTCTCATTTTTTAATAAACTAAATCAGTTGTTAAATTTTTTATCAGGAACATAATTCTCAAAATTTGTAGTGCATTGCGGTTTTAATCATGTCAATAATATTGTAATTTTAATCTTTAAATTATAGACAAACAAAATTGTTTAACAAATCTTTGACTCTATCTAATTAATTAATTAATAGTCTTAAAATTATTGCACAATTCAAGGAAATCTCTATATATTAATAAACAAATTCAATTCCTTGCGTGTTTTTGTTGAAATTTGGCACGTCATTATATTGAATCAGAACATTTTAATAATAAATAAATTAAGCGTACATACACAGGAATATTTTTTATTGAATTAGAACAGTTTCGGGTCTGGTCATGAGTTTCGGGTATAGTCCTCGTGACCGCGGAATTGTGTCATCCTCACTTTTTTTGTCGCTTATAAAATTTAATTAACAAATCTTAGAAGTTGAAGCTCGGTGCCATATAAACATTGGCACATTCATAATTACATGTTATTGGGAGAAAATTAAAATCAAACTCAACCGTCTTGAGGTAATTTGGGACAAAAATACAATGATATTTCAATAATTTTCTCTAACTTTGAAAGAGTAATTTTTAACTATATATATAAATTACATTTATATATAGGCAAAAATTTGTGTGAGACCGTTTCACATATCATTGTACGTGCGACGGGTCGGATCAAGATAGAAAAAAAAATGTAATACTAATCAGGAATAAAATATTTATTACTTGTATTAGAAAATGTAATATTTTTGAAGAAAAATGTAATAATTTTACATTTTGATTTAAAAGTTTTACATTTTCCTTTATGAAATAAATACTTGTCAACACTACTTATAAAGAAAAATGTAATACTTTTGATGAAAAATGAAATACTTTTACATCTATTACATTTTTCAGTATACGTATTACACTATCATCATATTGACCCGACCCGACATGCATCAAACAAGTGTAACCCTTGTATATAAACCTACTAGTTAATTAAAAAAAAAAATCATAAATATATATAAAGTGTAAATATTAAACTTAGACAATAAAAATGAACACAAACCAAACTAAAAATATGAAACACTAAACCAAACCAAGTCAAACAAAAAAAAAAAAAAAAAAAAACCCATAAACTCGTAATTCTTTTTAGCACCACAAAATTTCTCAAAATGAAGAAGTGTCACGGGCTTAGGCCGTGCGACTTTCTATAGACTATTACTACATATACGGCTATACGACCGTCAATCCACCAATTTACGTCAGTCACAGGAAAACTAATACCAAGTCCAATTCAAGTTAACGCGGCAGTCATTCCATCTTTTTTAATTAGTGTATACTTTTCCTTTGTATATGCATAATTTAATGAATTATTTTAAAACATATATGCAAGAAAATTATTAATTGTAATAAAAAAAATACAATAAATCACCGTGAGATTAATACAAGAAATACAAGAACAAAAACATTTTAACATGACATATACATACCACAGTCGGACAATTAACTTGCAGTTGCATTAACAGTTCAGTTACCAATCACTAATTTCTCAAGTTATTATTGAATTATTCTTGTAATAATTTAGATTATAAGACGGAGTTACATGTAGTTTTTAACCATCTTTAAAAATGAAATGAAATCATAGAAATGTGGGTGAGGGTATTAATTTGATTACGGTAGAAATAATGAGGGAAATTAAGTTGAATGTAAATGAGACCAAAAAATTATAGTTTTAAAGGAGTGTATATTTTTTAAAGTTACTGACTCTATTACATTGTAGTATCTGTTCATATACTCTTTGTCTCTTTCTCAACTTACTGAAACGCAAAGAAACAATAACGCCTCCACTGAGACTTGAACTCATAATAATCTTCCAAATGGAAGTCCAACCCGGGTACCATTAGACTACATAGTCCTAATAAAAAGTGTATATATTTATGTTAAAGTTTCATAGTTTTAAAGAGTTGATGACTTGTTCAAGTTCTATACTTTTAATTTTCTTACTATATAACCTTCCGGTCAAAATGCAACGGTCAGCCCGTAACCTTAAAACCAGTTACTGTAGTACTAATGAACAAATCAAAGTCATCGTATCCATGTCGCCACGATGCCTGCCAGCTTATAAAACTACGCAGCTCTTCGCATTTTGTTTTACCATAAAATTCATCATCTTCAACCTCTGGTCTATCTGAGCTCCAAATCCATCTGAATCATCATCATAAACTTGTTCTTTAAAACCGTCGGACAAGGTCCAAAACCAAAAGACAATGAGACATCATCAACCTAGTATTATTGTTCTTGCTTTTGTTTGTGTGATTCTGCTACTGAGAATCCAGCCTTATGAGGCCTGTAGAACAACCAATCTTTTGCTTCCTTCTCTGCAATGGCGGCCGGTTACCCCGCCGTCGACCAACCCCGGGCACAACTCGGTCGGCACGGTGAGTGAGCAGAACTTTGCGGCAGCTGAGACGACTATGCCGCCGAGAAAGAAGAAGCCAGCAAACCACCTCTTGCTTCCTTCTCTGCAATGGCGGAAGGTTACGCCTCCGTCAAGCAACCCCGGGCACAACTCCGTCGGCGGCGTTAGTGAGCAGAACTTTGCGGCTGAGATGCCCCGGAGGAGAAAGAAGCCTAACCACCTTTTGCTTCCTTCCCTGCAATGGCGGCCGGTTACACCTCCCTCAACAAACCCTGCCCACAACTAGGTTGCCACGGCGGCGCATGCAGCAAAACTATATATACATATATTCTTTTATTATTTTCTCTTTTCTTTTGTTCATTTTTTTTTTTTTTGGAAATTAATTTATTATTACGAAGAATAAGTAGTCAGTATGCTCAAAAAATGTATGAGCAGCTGTGTATGAAAGTATGATGACCAACATAGTCATGACTGATCAATAAAATTGAGGCATTTTTTGAATAAATATTTTAATGTATATATAGTACGTATTGCATGCATGAGACTTAATATGCATGTCTCATGATAACTTCTCTCAAAGGTTGAATCCCCAACTCTAAAAGTCCCCCACACTTCTACCTGACAGAATATCTCATGATAATAACTTAATGAGATATGTTAAAGTTTCTATTTATTTTTATATTATGTTGTTTAATATTCATTAGATAAATCAGCTAGTATATATAAAGCAACTAACTCAATCTTAGCTTAAAGTTTATTGCGTGTTATGAGATACAGAGTATATATATATATATATATATATATATATATATATATATATATATCATTAACCTAATTTTAATTTTGTATATGACATTATTCGAACCCAAATGTACCCATATATGACAAAATGATAAAGTTGTCAAAATGGACTTAATTAACTCATCGAGCCAACCCACACAACCATCTCATGAGGTACTAGGGATCTTGGAATTTAGAGGCTAGCACCACCCTGTCAGCCTTCTCATTAACCTCCCATTACCGGTAAATTATACTATGGATCATGGTCCATATTGTAAGGCCAGGTGAACCTTTTAATATACTTGAAGTTTCATTTTGTAGATAATATACTAAAAATGAATTTGTAGTACATTAAAAATGAACAATCAAAAAATAAACTTATAATACACTAAAAATAAACATTCAATAAACAAATAAACATGTATGTCAATGGCGATATGGACCATAGTCCGCAGTATAATGAGAGTTGTTATACATGGATTAGGGTCCACCTTGCAAGGTGGACTTTGGTCCTAAACGACATATAAATTGTGTACTTTTAGTATTTGAATTATGAACTTCTAGAATATAAATTGTGTTTATAAGTCAAAACACATAACAGCGCGCTGTAGACGAGAATACATAGTCATCAAATCTTAATATACAAAATAAATAATTAATTACATATATGTTAACATTATGTGTTTGTAGTATACAAATTGTAAACTTTTAAAAGGTAAATTGTGAACATTTAGACTCGGGTCCACAGAATAATTTGTGGTATAATGATTGCCCATTACCTTATTGGGCTTAGTTGTAATGATAGTTATAAATAAGGCAAGGAGGCCCAAGAGTATTAAATGTACTTATAATCAGCCCAGACCACCATTTATTGTAACTAGACAATACAATTTTAAGCGGCCCAACGGATTGATTCAACACCTTTTTGTTGCACACTGTAACTTTTCTCCCTTAACGAGTCACGACTGATTCAACTTCATATTAAACTTTCACAGTCAAACTGCAAACGGTCAACCACTCAACTTGCTTTGAAGCTCATACATATATAAGCCTCTTCATCTCAAATCTCAATCCTCTCATCATCCATCATATACCCCAAACTTCTTTAAAAACCAGCAGACAAGAACAGATCGACAATGGAACATCAACCTAGTATTATTGTTTTAGCTTTTGTTTCTGTTCTTCTTCTACTCACCGTCAACCCTCTTGACGCCGCTAGATCGGCTCCTCGTGACGGCGACGGTGAACCGGCGTGGATGAAGAAGAACAAACATCTCTTGTTGCCATCTCTACAGCGGAAAATGGTCTCCCCTCCCGGCGCAAATCCCGGTACCAATAACGCCGTTAACTCGGCTACGCTCGGCGAGAAGAGCTTTGGGGCTACGCCGTCGACGCCGGAAAGTTTAAGGAAAAATGTTTTGTTACCGTCTCTGTGGAAACCGGTGGCCCCTCCGTCGTCGAACCCCGGCAGGGCCGGATTTTAGGTTTTTGTGGCCCTGTTATAGTAAATAACTGAGGCCCCCAAAATCTTAATTTATAAAACTAACATATGCGAGTTTCGAACCTTTGACCTTCAAGTTAAAATACAACAAATACACATTTCTACCATCACTTCATAAAACCTTTTAAAATCAATTGTAAACTTTTAATTTTTATTTCTAAACTAGCTAGGTAAATATTAAATATTGGGCCTCTAAAATTTGGGGCCCCTCTTAAATTGGGGGCCCTGTGCGGTAGCCCAGCTTGCACAGTCTCAAATCCGGCCCTGAACCCCGGCACCAACTCCGCTCTCGTCGGAGCAATGAACTTTGTGGCTGGGTTGCTCCCGAGAAAGACCACGTCGAATAATCTTTTGCTTCCGCCTCTGCAATGGCGGCCAGTTACTCCGCCGTCAACCAACCCCGGCCACAACTCCATTGGCACGGTGGCTCAACGGAACTATGCCGGTGGAAAAACGTCTCCTCTTTCCATACACCATCAACCCAAGCTTCCATTATCTCAGACGGCTAATTGTTAATATTACAAGAAGAATGTCGATCATTTTTTACTTTAATTCGAATACTAACGAACTGATTACTTAGATTGTATAGTAGAATTACACACATCTTTTATTCTTTCATTCTTTAATCAAAGCCTATTATTTCATTGAATTCCAGTATTTGATTAGTGTACTCTAAACATGAACATGTATGCAATATATGACCAATCATGATTGTGTGGACCATGGTTTATACAAGTTGTGTGGAGCATATTTTTTTTTACAGTAAAATAATGTACATTCAATACAAAAATAATGTACATTGTATTCAGGGGATATACATTATTTTTGTTCTGAGTGTACATTATATTGCATAATGTACATTCAGTACAAAAATAATGTACATTTAATATATTAAAAATGTATTTTTTGTTATGGTCCACATAACATTGTGTGGATCATGGTCCACACAATAATTTGTCATATATGAGTGCATTGTCGGCAGATGCTTAACTCACTTGTCCAGTAAACAATATTTTGTAGAATAGATCGTGTATATATACATAGAATGAGGCTTTTGAGGTTTGATTTTCTAGCTCTCTAAAGTTAATTAAAAAAAAAAAAAACATTCTTTTGCTTTATTATTTATCTTTGCATTCTTGATTACAAATTAAGGGATTGTGTTGGCCTACTCTCAATTGTACGTTCCAGTTATAAAACCAACACAATATTTCCTTAATTTGTCATCCAAAAGGGAATAAAAATTGTAATTTTATTATGTGATCAACATATAAACATGCAAGATTTCCATAGATGTCGTCATATTACAATTTTTTTGTGATAATTTATGATTTTTTAAAGAAAAATTAGATGAAATATGAAAGTAGTTAGACATCATATAAAAATTATTTTAATTTTAATAGAAAAGTAGATCAAATTGAAGTTAATTTTAACTCCTGCAGGCTCATCATCAACTTGATCTCTAAGTTTTTAAAGAGTGCTCAAGCACCATCTTGATTTTACGAATTTAGCAGGTACCACTTGAACACAATGTAGTTATATTATTTTTTCTTGGGCTAAAATCGACTCAAAAAGAAAATAAAATCTAAATCAAAAGCTAATATATTTTTAGTTTTAACTAAAATTACAATATGTAATAAGACACAAATCACACAAAAAATTAAATCGCACTAAAAAAATCTTGACTCGACAACATATTTGATTGGAAAATTGTTGGCCAAAATTAATCTTGTGACTTTCTGATAAAAAATTAAGAAAAATTGTAATTTATGCCCCTCACAAATATTTCAATTGTTAATGTCACCTCTAAATTATTAGTGGTATAAATGTTGCTCATCAATTTTCAAAACGTGACATATATTTTCCAATTGTTATGCCGTAGAACCGTGTCCACATTGCAAGGTGGACACAGTTATATCATAATTACTGTAATATATGTTCATAATTATAAAGTTATATATTCATAATTTTTGAACTTCATATTCATAATTATTGAACTCTATATTCACAATTACAGAATTCTATGTTCATAATTACTGAACCATATGTTCATAATTATAAAGCTATATATTCATAATTTGATTAACGTTATAAATAATGAGGGAAGGTTGAATGTAAATGAGACCAAAAAATTATAGTGTTAACGGAGTGTATATATTTATGGTAAAGTTTCATAGTTTTAACAAGTTGATGAGATGAGGATTCGATATATCTGAATAATGAATAATGTGTCCGGTAAGAGTATATATACCTGAGTATACAAGACCTAACACAAGACGAATACTAATAACAATAGACTAATAGTAACGGACTAATAGTAATGATAATAGACTCCTAACACTCCCCCTCAAGCGCAAGGTTGACCGGAAACAACATTGAGCTTGTCATAGAGAGTCACGAAACGAGGACCAGGAAGGGCCTTAGTGAACACATCAGCTAGCTGATCCTTTGTGGAGATGAAGCTCACCTGCAGTTCCTTCTTAGCCACCTTATCACGCACAAAGTGGTAGTCAATCTCCACGTGCTTTGTGCGAGCATGAAAAACCGGATTAGAGCATAAATATGTCGCACCCAAATTATCACACCAAAGAGTGGGAGGCACAGCCAGCGAAATGCCCAACTCACGAAGCAGAGAGACTAGCCACGTGACCTCAGCAGACACATCAGCCAGTGCCTTGTACTCAGCCTCAGTAGATGACCGAGCAACCGTCCGTTGCTTCTGCCACGACCAGGAGATCAGGTTGCCACCCAGAAAAACCGCAAAACCACTAGTGAATTTCCTGTCATTCGGATCACCAGCCCAGTCCGAATCCGAGAAAGCATGAACAACAAGAGAAGATGACAGACGGATAAAGAGACCGAAATGGAGAGTACCTTTCACGTACCCGAGTACGCGCTTGAGCATAGCCCAATGCTCAGTAGTCGGGGAGTGCATGTGCTGACAAATCCGATTCACAGCAAAAGAGAGATCTGGATGCGTCACAGTAAGGTGCTGAAGGGTTCCCAAATGACTACGATATTGCATGGGATCCGCATAGGGAGCCACAGAATCAGGCACCGGACGAGACACAGGAATCGGAGTAGCCATCGACTTACAATCCACCATACCTGCACGAGTCAAAATGTCCTGCATGTACCGTTGCTGGGAAAGAAAGAGACCGCCATCCCGGGAGACTGTCTCAATGCCAAGAAAGAAGGACGGAGCACCCATGTCACGAATCTTGAACTCTGAGGCTAAGTCAGTAAGTAGACGACGCACACGAGTAGCATCAGAACCCATCACGAGGATGTCATCAACATACACAAGCAAATATAAGCAGACAGAGTCACGAGAATAAATGAATAAATAGACATCCGTATTGGATGGTGAAAACCCCACCGAAACCAAGAAAGCACGTAACCTGTCAAACCACGCCCTAGGGGCCTGCTTAAGCCCATACAACGACCGTTGCAATGAACATACGAAATCCGTCCGGGCCTTATCCTCATAGCCAGGCGGCTGCCTCATATAAACAGTCTCAGAGAGATTACCATTGAGAAACGCATTGTGCACGTCGAGCTGCCGAATCGTCCAACCCCAAGAGACAGCCAAAGACAGAAGAAGTCGCACAGTGGTTGGCTTGACGATAGGTCTGAAAGTCTCAAAGAAGTCCTGACCTGCCACCTGAGTGAAGCCTTTAGGAACTAACCGTGCTTTGTGCCTCTCGACTGTGCCATCAGCCTTGCGCTTCGTCCTGAACACCCATTTGCACCTAACGACATTCATATCCGGAGTGCGATCCACTAACCGCCAGGTGTTATTATGAATCAAGGCATTAAACTCAAGATCCATGGCCTCACGCCACTCAGGATACCGAACCGCCTGAGAATAACAAGTCGGTTCAGGAACAACTATCAAAGCAACATGCTTTTAGTCAGCTTAGGCTTTTAGTTGAGATGGAGCACATGCTTCAATTTGATATCAGAGCTAGACCAAAGGTCATGGGTTCGAATTGGTATCTGAGCTAGACCAAAGGTCATGGGTTCTAATCTCTACTTCACCCCATAGGCTTTTAGTCAGCTTAGGCTTTTAGTTGAGATGGAGCACATGCTTCAATTTGATATCAGAGCTAGACCAAAGGTCATGGGTTCGAATTGGTATCAGAGCTAGACGAAAGGTCATGGGTTCGAATCTCTACGTCACCCTATAAGCGACTACAGTCCACGTGTTGCTTGGAACCCACGATAGGCTTTTAGTTGAGATGGAGCACATGCTTCAATTTGGTATCAGAGCCAGACCAATGGTCATGGGTTTGAATTTTGTATATCTACGTCACCCAATAAGCGACTACGGTCCACTTGTTGTTTGGAACCCACCGCACACGTGAGGATTGGCTTACAGCTTACGACTTGGGTTGATTACAAGAATGAGGAGAAGAAGCTGGAGGTGTTCTTGAGCCAATCAAATCCCAAGCCTGAAATTGCCTTACTGACAGTTGATATTGATCTGTCTGGGTTCCTAAATGAGTTTATGTATGTGGGGTTTTCAAGTTCTACTGAGGGAAACACAGAGTTGCATTACATTGCGACCTGGAGTTTTCAGACCTCTGGGTTGAAGGAATTGGGGCCAAGAATCCACCCAAACAATGTGCCTGCCGTTGTTAATTCTACTCCCTTGAAGGTCATGGGTTCGAATTGGTATCAGAGGCTCAGAGCTAGACCAAAGGTCATGGGTTCGAATCTCTACATCACCCCATAAGCGACTATGGTCCACGTGTTGCTTGGAACCCACCGTAGGCTTTTAGTTGAGATGGAGCACATGCTTCAATTTGATATCAGAGCTAGACCAAAGGTCATGGGTTCGAATTGGTATCAGAGCTAGACCAAAGGTCATGGATTCAAATCTCTACGTCACCCCATAAGCGACTACAGTCCACGTGTTGCTTGGAACCCACCGTAGGCTTTTAGTTGAGATGGAGTACATGCTTCAATTTGATATCAGAGCTAGACCAAAGGTCATGGGTTCGAATTGGTATCAGAGCTAGATCATAGGTCATGGGTTCGAATCTCTACTTCACCCCATAGGCTTTTAGTCAGCTTAGTTTTAAGTAGGATATGGCAACCAGGTACCATAGAACTCTGTGGTTAAGCGTGCTTGACTTCCGGCAATCCCGGGATGGGTGACCCCCTGGGAAGTAAGCATAGTGCAGCGCTGAGATCCAACAATATGATATAATCAAATAAGTCACAAACTCACAACTCACAAGTCACAACAAAAAAAGCCCGCGCCTTGTAAGGGGCTACTTGGCTACTTACCAGTCGATCTCATTTAAATAATACTCTGTAATAATTATTTACTACAATAAATTTAGCAATGGATGAAATAACTATTCCTTACATAGATTTCGATCGGTGTTTATAATCAATGAAAATTTGTTTATAAATTAAATACATACAAATTCCATTCATTTACTTATGGATTTTCTGTTGATAAATTTAATTTTTCTGTGTAGTGTATAATTTTATCAAGACATTGATTAAAAAAACCCAAATATTAACACTTTCTTGCAATTATATCCAAGCCTTTAAAAAAAAAAAAACATAGTTAGCCTGTTTTGTAAAATAGTTTGTTTGTCTATCAGTCAATTTTAGCTTATTTGATCATTATTAGTTGTTTGACTTGGTTAAAATTTAATATAAGTGTTTGGTTAATTAGCTTTTTATAACAGTTTATTGCTTCAAAAGACTAAAATTCAAAAAGCTTCTCAAAGTAGCTCTTTCGATTAATTTTTGAAAAAATCATTTTGCATATAATCAGCTATGAGCTAATAGCTAATTTACCAAATTAAACATCTTTTTACAATCAATTAATACTATCAACTAATCAAACTCACTAACTCAATTAGCTAACAATTATTTACCAAATACCCCATATATGTATGAAAATATATGCTATACTAAGGTACAATTGTTACCAAATGCAAAATTTATGTTTTTCAAAATTGTAAAGATTTGAATATAATTAATTACTACCCAAGGCTTAAAGCTAAGTTTGTGTTTTTTCACGTCTTTTATCAATTATGCTAGCTAGTTACAAGCTTAATCAATTGTTATGCCGTGCAACCGTGTGTACCGTTCTTGGTACACACGGTTGAAAACGACACCGTATAGTGCCAGGGAAGTAACGGTGCCGTTAGTGGCACCGTTTCACTCATCCCGATATTTTAAAAAAAAAATATTATTATTATTGCCATAAAACGCCACTACACTCCTTTTTCCGCCATTTCCAACGTTTCGTCTCCAACAAGCTACACACTTCCTTCGCACTGTAGCAGTCTTCATCTCTCTCTCTGTCTACTCGGAGTCGCGATTTTCGCCGTCTTCATCTCATTGTCGCCGGAGCGTGTTTTGTTCACCATTGTCGCCATTTTCATTCTAGCATTGTCGCCCGTTATCATCGCATTCTCCATCAGGTATAATGTATTTTTGTGATTTTTTACTGTTAACGTTGTGTTTTTTGACTGTTAACATTCATATTCGCTGTATATTCTTGTTATTTTTGACTAGGGTTTTGCAACACGATTTTGCATTTTTCTCAAACAGATCAATACTCTGTTTTTTTTTTCTGTTTGTTTGATTGTTTTTTGGTGTTTTCTGAAATGTTTTTGGACAAATAGTTGTGATATTGTGGATATATAGCTTTATACTTGTGGTTTTATAGTTTAATACTTATTCATGTTTGAAAATATCATTCCTGTCTTCAATTAGTGTGTTTCTGAAATGTTTGTGGACAAATAGTTGTGATATTGTGGATATATAGCTTTATAATTGTGGTTTTATAGTTTAATACTTATGCATGTCTGAAAATATCATTCCTCTCTTCAATTATTGTGTTTCTGAAATGTTTGTGGACAAATAGTTGTGATATTGTGGATATATAGCTTTATACTTGTGGTTTTATAGTTTAATACTTATGCATGTTCGAAAATATCATTCATGTCTTCAATTAGTGTGTTTCTGAAATGTTTGTGGACAAATAATTGTGATATTGTGGATATATAACTTTATAATTGTGGTTTTATAGTTTAATACTTATGCATGTATGAAAATATCATTCCTGTCTTCAATTAGTGTGTTTTCTGAAATGTTTGTGGACAAATAGTTGTGATATTGTGGATATATAGCTTTATAATTGTGGTTTTATAGTTTAATACTTATGCATGTATGAAAATATCATTCCTGTCTTCAATTAGTGTGTTTCTGAAATGTTTGTGGACAAATAGTTGTGATATTATGGATGTATAGTTTAATAATTCTTATTTACAGAAATGGCTCGTGAACCTACACTGGCTGAGGCTCTTAGAGAAACAAAAAGAAGAAGAACAGAGTACCGGACAGCAGCAATTCTAGATTCACAAGCAGCTCAGAGCTCTAATCCAACTAGTGAACAACCAGCAGCAGCCCTAAATTCACAAGCAGCTCAGCGCTCACGCCCTGCTAAGGAAACAACTGTTGCAGAGACTTCAACGAGACGGCGCCGACGAACTAGAGAACACAGGAGAGATTACTTCAATACGAGGATGGGGCCAAAGCTGATGTTTGATCTTGTCCAGAGGCTCTCACCACGACAGAAACAAGCTGTCGTAGAAACTGGATTTGGTGGACTTCTTCATCTCCAACTCTGCACCAATGAATCAAAGTTGGTGCAATACCTGCTGGACAACTTTAATGTTTGCAGGTGTGATTTTGTATTAGAGGATGATAGTCTCCACATTGAAGAGGAAGATGTCGAATACACGTTGGGAATCCCGCGAGGGCCTCTGAAGGTCAATGAGGGGACAAAGATGGAAGACACCTCAACCCGTGAATACAAACTGCTGCTGACTTCATGGAGAAGGAGGTGGGGTATTACAGCAGGCTCGCCAATAACTACACAGATGCCAGATGAGATTGTTAGGAGAGCTGATCATGGTGATGAGTTCAAGAGGGATTTCGTAGTCTTTGCCGTTTCCTCCATGCTTCGAGGAAACACAACACGCTACTCCAAGTACAGGATCTTAAACTCATTGATTGATGTTGATATGATTAAAGAGTACAATTGGTGCACCTACACATACCAATCTCTCATTGACTCGATAGATAGTTACAATGAAGATAGAAAGAGAAGCTTTTGGGGGCCAATGACATTGATATTGGTCAGTTCTTATTGTCTTTAATCTAGTTGCATGAATTTTATGTAGTTGTAGGTGTATAACTAACAATTTATTATGGGTATATATGCATGAAACTTGGAATATACTCAGTTTAATAAGATCCTTTATGTAGTTTAATTTGTGGATATATAGTTTTAAAATTGTGGATATATAGTTATGTGATTATGGATATATAGTACTCTGTGAATATATGAATGTATTACTCTGTGGACATACTGTTAATAATTCTGGATATATATTAATGTGTTTTTGGATGTATAGTTATGGGTTTATGGATATATATGCATGACACTTGGAATACACTCAGTTTAATGAGGTCCTTTATGCAGTTTAATTTGTGGATATATAATTTTAAAATTGTGGATATATAGTTATGTGATTATGGATGTGTAGTACTCTGTGAATATATGTATGTATTACTCTGTGGACATACTGCTAATAATTCTGGATATATATTAATGTGTTTTTGGATGTATATTTATGGGTTTATGGACATATATGCATGAAACTTGGAATATACTCATTTTATTAATATCATTTTTTATTTCTGAATTTTGTAGATATATAGTTTTAAAGTTATGGATATATAGTTATGTGATTATGGACATATAGTTATGCATTACACTGTGACCATGCAATTAAGAATACATGGATAAATTGTTCTAAATTCATCTTTAACATAATCTTCTGTAATTTGTAGCTGTTCTACTTTGATCGAGTAGAATTCAAAGGAATGAAGATCAACAGGACATACCCTAGCATACTTGCTTGGACAACCACGCTTGTAAGAAAGAGAGTCAAGGCTGAAAAAAGGGCTGGTGGGTTTGGAAAAGGAAGGGTTATCCCTAGAGTTAAGAAGCCAAGGACTGATGCTACCACCTCACTACAACAACCTGCAAGCACTGCTGCTGCTACAACCTCACTACCACAACCTGCATTTACTGCTGCTGCTACTACTTCTTCTACTCCTGCTACTGCAACACCGACACCAACTACAAGTGAGCCACTCTCAAGTGTTGATCGGGTGACCCGTGTGCTCCAAAAGCTAGCATCAGATGTCCTGGAGTTTGGTGAAGCTATGTCTGAAATTGGAAAGCAGGGCGCACCTATTGAAGTCATGAAGAAAGCGTTCTCAGGGATATCAAACATGCTAGGTGCTGCAAGCGCAATTGAATCAACTTCCATTCCAACTGAATCTCAGTTGGATGACATATTCTTTGGGAGTGAAACCTTCACCGCTGCAGTGGATTCATTGGTGGAAGCATTTCAGAAGACAACAAGAACCATGGAATTTGAAGCTCCATCATTTGATTTGGGAATACACTGCAATGAATCGCAACCGCAGCCATGTGAGCAACACACGGAGCAAGTAGTTGAAGAGGACCTACCATTGGATGCTTTGGTTCAACAAATTGGAGAGGATGCAGGACTGTCAACGACCTTGGGAGCACAAGTAACTCCTCCACTTGTTAGGGTCCCATTTCAGAGATATGTTCGTCATGCCGCTGCTACTGATGCTGATGTTGATGACTTTGATTGGTAAATTTACAGTTTGTTATTTGCATTTGGCTTTAACGTTATGAATTTATAGTGCTAAAATTATGAATATAAACTTATGAACATTTTTACAACTGTGGACATATAGCTTTAAAATTGTGGATATATAGATATAAAATTATGAACATTTTAAATCTGTGAATATATAGTTCTATGATTATGTACATATATGTTTAATATTATGGATATAAAGTTCTAATACTGTGGATATATAAACAACAGTGCCATGCAAGAAAGTGAGTCTGATGTTGAGGACGTGACTATTAGGATGAGACCCCAGCGACGATTCAGGAACAAACCTCTTTGTTTGAGGTCACCATACTGGACACAGAATGCAGGTTTTATACGCACTGCAACTCCACGGGAAAAAATCATTTCAAACTATGCATTCTTGAGTGTGTCTACCGAACACCCAGAAGAGTATGTTTGAACACATATATTTATAATAACCTTTAAATTACTTAGATAGTTCATATTATTATAACTATTGGTGTTATTATTATTATTGTTATTTTGGTGCTGTAGTGAGTTGCTGTTCAGCTATGGTGACTACTACCTAACAAGGCGTCACTTCTCAACTTTGAGCAATGGCGAGTTGGATATAGACTTCTTGAATATTTGGTCTTTGCGGCTAACTTTGAAGAACACAGAACGTACTGTTGGGATACCAAAACGCGTATTCTTCACCACACTGCCACATGTAAGAGTTATTTTTGACATGCAGATGCGCATTTTTAAAAATCTAGTACTTTAAGCCTTTTGAATACTCATTTTTTGCATTTCTGTGTATTCAAAAACAGCTGCAGCTTGATCCATCTGATGATTGGATGAAAAGTCTCCCAGCTGAGAAAAGGATGGAAAATTTCAATGATAGATTGAATTATGAAATATCAAGTTTTGGAAACCTGGAAATCAGTGATGCAGACCTTTTAAGATCTATTACACACACTTAATTTAATAATTTAAGATTTTATTATTGATATATATGCATGAAGCTTGGAATATACAAAGTTTAATAAGATCCTTTATAAAGTTCTGAATTTGTGGATATATAGTCTTAAAATTGTGGATATATAGTTATGTGATTATGGATATGTAGTACTCTGTTAATATATGAATGTATTACTCTGTGAACAGACTGTTAAGAATTCTGGATATATGGTAATGTAGTTTTTGGATGTATAGTTATTAATTTGTGGATTTATATGCTTGAAGCTTGGAATATACTCGGCTTATTAGGATCTTTATAAATTTCTGAATTTTGTGGATATATAGTTTTAAGATTGTGGATATATAGTTTTATAATTATGGATATATAGTACTCTGTCAAATATGAATGTATACCCATGCAGTTAACAGTACCTGGGTATGTAGTTGTTTCAAATAATAACCTTTTGTTTTGGAATTAGATATTCTTCCCAGTGCATCGCCATGCACACTACTTTGTTGTGTGCATAAATGTCAAGGAATCCAAGGTTCAGGTGATAGACAACAAGGAATTGCCTGCTGGTGTTTCAGAGCTTGATAAATATGGGGACTGTCCATACAAACTGGTAGCTTATATTATATTAAAAAATCTCCTTATTGTCACCTATATATTGAATTTAAAACATTATGAACATTGAGCTAATTTTTTACCAGATTGAAGCATTCAAGGCGTACCTGGCAGCAGGACAATCCACCTTGACTCACAAACTGAACAGCATGCCAGTAGAGTTCCTTGCCATGCACTGGAAAAATGCAGAGAATGTCACCGACTGTGGCATATATGTAATGCGACATATGGAGACTTACATGGGTGGAGCTCTCGAGAACTGGGATCCTGGGTTCAAGAAACATATGCGCACGAATGTAAGAGTAACATAAATATATTACATTCCAACTACATCAAAAAGTGATGAAAAAATTACAATGAACTAGTTATTTATTTTTCTTATTTTACAGGCTAGCTTCATTTTTGAGTTGAGGGCAAAGTATGCTGCTTGTATCATCACGTCAAAGCTGAACAGCGTCAAAGGCGAGGTCATGAAAGCTGCAAAGATTGAAGACAAGAAGAAGTAAAACTGGAAAGATCAATGAATGTTTTTGTGGATGAATATTTTAATATTTTCTGTTCTTATGGTCGTTTTGTAACAACTCTATCACAATTTTTGAAATTCGATCTATGAAATTCACTGAATATATAGTTCTCATATTATGGACATGTAGGTTTAAGATTGTGGATGTATGGATATAAAATTATGAACATCTTACATAAGTATAAACATACCGTTCAAATATTCATATATTCATATTTCAAGAATTATGGACATATAGGTTTAAGATTGTGGGCATGTTGATATAAAGTTATGAATATTCGTTCAACTGTGAACTTACATTTTACATAAGTGATCAAGTTCACCAGTTTACATATTGATATATAGCTTCAATATTGTGGATATAATGATATAACATTATGAACACTTTTACTAATTTGACACACAATTCCAATATTTTGTGGTCATATAGTTCTCAGAATTATGGACATATAGGTTTAAGATTGTGGACATATTGATATAAAGTTATGAATATTCGTTCAGCTGTGAACTTACATTTTACATAAGTGTAAACATCAAGTTCACCAGTTTACATATTGATATATAGCTTTAATATTGTGGATATAATGATATAACATTATGAACACTTTTACTAATTTGACACACAATTCCAATATTTTGTGGTCATATAGTTCTCAGAATATGTATGTATAGCTCTAATATTATGGATATATAGCTTTAGTATTATGGATATGTAGCTTTAATATTATGGATATATAGCTTCAAACCTGCAAATCAACAAGTACTAAAATTTTGAATACACAGATCAAACAACTTGTAAATTGATATCCTCAAAACAGCTAGCTACCAACTGGTATTAACCCCACTCTCAATCTACAACTGCATTATCATCTACATCATTACTATACTGACAAAACTCCGAACTCCCAGAACTTGGATGTACAAGGTACCCATCCCCGGCAATCTCAGATAGACTTTCCAAAACCAACGACTGAACAACACCCTTTGTACTCGAAGTAACTTTATTTGCACCACTCCTCCTCCCCCTTGCAGCACTGTACTTCTTTTCAATAACACTACTCCTCCTTACGTTACGCTCACCTTTTGATCTCCGGTTTGAAGGATTTTGAATGACACCACTTGAAGATGAAACACCGCACTCTTCAATTTGCACATAGCCAATCTCAGCTTCAACCTTTTTCTTTGCTTCCTCAACTGCTTCATCACAGAACTGCCTAGTTACACTGTTATCTTGACTAGATGAAATCAGTCTTTGAAACTTTCTGCAAATCTCCACAACCCAAATTGAAGGAGGGACACCAGCTCTACAAAACATTGAACCAGTATTCACATCCCTACCATCAGCAACCTTTTTAGTCCACCTTTTCATGATATATTTGTTAGGAATACTTGAAACACAGTGTATATGAAGAATGCGTAAACAATGGCAGCATAAAATTCCTAACTCCGAAATCAACTTGCAACTACACGAAATGTCTAAGGTTGACAACTTAAAACTGACTTCATGCCTTATAATATCTATATCTGGACGCCATACGTGATACTTGAACTGACAACCTTCATTCAACACCATTTCTTGATGACAGGCATTGCCTTTCATGAATTGTTCCTCAAACAAAAAATATATCTCAATCGTATATACCTCTCTAGCGTGTAACAGAAGTTTCACGTGCTCCATCATCATGTTGGGTACCCCTTGAGTACAACGAAAGTCTTCACCATTCTCTTTGCTCCTCCATTCAGAAGTTACACTAACAAACGATGAATAAAAATCACATAGACCTGCAGTCTTGGACAGCCTTCTTGAAATCGAATGGTTAGTAGTTTCACTCCTTTGCGATGATAAAATGCCCCCTGAAAAATAGTCCTTATTGAATGCTGGACACCACTTCTCCCTACAGTCATACAGCTTTTGTATCCAACTATTCTTGTGGCACTTGTAGTCAGTCACCAACCTGAAATGATAAGACATATGTTCAGAACTCTAATGCTATATATCCACAGTTCCAATATAATAAAACCACAAATTGAATGCATATAATACAAACAGAAAGCTCACTGCTTCACTACTACATGTTCAGACAACTAATACTATATATCCATAATTGTAATATTATATATCTACAATTCCAATACTATAAATCCATAAATTGCATGCATATAATTTAGAGACAAACAGGAAGCTCACTGCTTCACTAATACATGTTCAGACAACTAATACTATATGTCCATAATTCTAACACTGTATATTCACAATTCCAAAACTATAAATCCATAAATTAAATGCATGTAACTCAGGAACAATCAAGAAGTTCCATTCTATACTACAACATGTTCACATAATTCTAATACTATATATTCATAATTCTAATACTATATGACCATAATTCTAATACTAAACATCCATAATTCAATTACTGGAATCGAAAAAGGAAAAAAAAAAGTAGTGGACATACCTTGTCCAATAAAATTCAAACTCAGCTTCAGTCTCTGTGTATTTCAACACACAGTTAAACATATCTAAGAAATCCTTGTTATTCCTTAACGCCTTGATATGCTTCTTCGAATTCTCGCCAATATGCCATATGCAAAGACGGTGACGTGATGTTGGAAACACCTGACAAATAGCAGCAGCCATGGATGCACATTGATCTGTCATGATAGTCTGTGGACATTTCCCATTCATAGACCTTAAAAATGCTCTAAACAGCCACACAAATGATTCTATCCTCTCATTCATCAGAAAACCACATCCAAACATTACATTCATGCAATGGTGGTTCATCCCTACAAAAGGGCCACAAATCATATCATATTTATTAGTGCGATAAGTTGTATCGTGCACTAATAAATCCCCAAACAACTCATAGTCTTGTCTCATCCGACCATCCCTCCAAAAAAAACTGCATAGTCTTGAATCACATTCAACTTCAAAATCAAAGAAAAAATCAGACTCAGTCGACTGCCTCTTCCTAAATATTTCAATTAATGAGTTCGAATCGGTTCCATCCAAACGCTTTGATGTATCAGAAGCAATTGAATTATAAGCATCTCGATTAGTGAAGCCAACTAATGGAGACCCCCCTGCTTGATGTTTCAAGAACCTAATACCATCTACCATTGCAACACCACTCTTCTTCAAATCTTTTAAATATAACAGTTGATTATCACCCACATTTCTATGTGAACGCAGAAGATGACTCTTGTCTACAGCACATAACTCGTGATTGTGCACTTTTACATGTTTTGTAACCGTCCACAACCCATCCTCACCGACGTCAAACTGAACACATGCACCACACCCTGACCTTGTGTCAATTTTTGAATATGCCCTAACACCAGCATTTGCCTTAACCTTAAAACCAGCTTTAGAACACATAAACATCTTCATTTGGACTGTTTTGCTATATACCTTGCACCGTTGATTACCCTTCCTCACACTAAAACCAACTCTATATGCATAATTGTTATACAACTCATACGCTTCAACCCCGTTACTTACAACAACACCAACCAAATCTTCATCAACTGCAAATGCAATATATAACCTCAAGTATACTAAATAATACACGTTCCATTGAAAATATAATTCCTATGTAGAGGGGGTGCGGGGAATGCCGAATAAATCCAGCCATGCTCTACAAAAGGAATAACATTTTCCATGGAAAAAGAATGAACATATAACAATGCTGAACACTGTGAATTATGATCATATAAAACTACATATAGACCTGGATTAGAAGAAGAACCATCAATGTCTAACTCTATTGGATCTGAACTTGGTGAATCAACAACAACATCTTCACTGACTGCATAGTGTTAAAAGCCAGAACAGAGTATCAGTTTAGAAATTTGTGGATGTATAGTATTATAATTCTGGATGTATAGTGATAGAATTCTGGATATAAAGCTCACAGTTTCTGGACATAAAAGTTCAATAATTATGGATATACAATCCAGAACAGAGTATCCATTCACAAAATCCTTGATATATACTACTATAATTCTGGATATATAGCTCACAACTTCTGGTTTTATAGTTCAAAGATTATGGATATATATTTCGTTCATTCAGAAAACCATAAACACATAAACACCAAGAGTTACGAATGATCTCAGACTAGAATCACATAAACATCACATACACAATAAACATCACACTAAATATAAACACCTACACAATATATCACACTGCAAAAATCGCAAACGACCACAAATCCATAAAAATCAAACTGCAAAATAACCTGGAACCGTATGCAATTCATCGCCTGCTTCATCTCTCTGATCTAATGCCTCGTCTCTCTGGTCTACTGCATCATCCATCATGAGATCCATACAATAAATCAGGAAAACGACTGTGATCGCTATTGCGATTGCGATTTTACGTATACTGCAATCAAAACGCCAAACTACCAAAAAATCGCAAAACTACCAAATATGATATGAATAACGCCGCTAACGGCCATCCAATTTTTTTTTTTTTTTGATTTTGTGCGCGCCGTGTCGTTTTTTTAGTAAAACGGCGCCGTTTTGCAACCGTATGCACCTTGCTAGGTGCATTCGGTTGCACGACATAATTTGCGAAGCTTAATTTATAAAGACTTCTACTACATGCATGTACTCCTCAATCTTACTTCCTAAATTTTACTCTCTGATGTGGAGGATTTTGATAAGTTATTTTTTTTTCATGTGGGTCTCAATACTAGTGTCTACATCAAGATTTTGTGTGTGGAAATACAAATTGAGATTACAAAACGGGAATACATGTAGCATTTTCCATTTATAAATTATATATATGAATTATAAGTGGGCTTTTCCCTTGTTTTAGTTCTCACTACACAATACTATATTTTGAGCAAATTGTTTGGGCCAACCAGTCACATGTGCAGATTATTCAACACTTTTTTTTTTCTTTTTTTGTTTGTTTCATACCGTAAACTTTTCTTGCTTAACGAGTTGATGACTCGTTCAAGTTCTTATTAAACCTTCCCAGTCAAACTGCAGAAGGTCAGCCTATATGCTTCAGTTCGTGGTTTGAAGCTGCCTATATATATGCCTAATCCTCGTCCCATTTTATCATCACCACCTTCATCTCAACCCTCTCACCAATCATCCTAAACATTCTTTAATTTGTCATAATTCATTAAAACCATCAGACAAGATCGAAGAGACAATGACACCTCAACCTAGTACTGTTTTAGCTTTTGTTTCTGTACTCCTTCTACTCACCATTAAACCTCACGAAGCCTGTAGATCGATTCCCCGTGACGACGATGAACCAGTGTGGATGAAGAAGAAACATTATCTTTTGTTGCCATCTCTGCAGTGGAAGCCGGTTTCCCCTCCGGGAGGAAATCCCGGCACCAACGGCGCCGTTAACTCGGCTACTCTCGGCGGGAAGGACTTTGCAGCTACGTCGACGCCGGGAAGTTTAAGGAAACATGTTTTGTTACCGTCTCTGTGGAAACCGGTGACCCCTCCGACGCCCAACCCCGGCACCAACTCCGCTCTTGCCGGAGCAAAGAACTTTGCTGGTGGGTTGCTTCGTTCCCTGAAATGGCGGCCGGTTAATCCGCCGTCGAGCAACCCCGGCCACAACTCGATCGGGACAGTGAAGGAACAGAACTACGCAGCTGCAGAAATGTCTGCTCATCAATAGAACAAAAATCTCTCTATTGATGATTAAATACTAACATTCTGATTATTAGCTAGATTATATTGTAGAATTATCTTAGCTTCCATTTATTCATTCTTTATTAGTTTATTATTTTTTATGTCAATTTTTACATAGAAATAAATTATTTGATCAGTGTACTCAACACCCATCAACAAAGACTAATGATCAGATTTCACAAGGAGGTGTCTCAAAAAAAAATCCAAACCATCACAAAATTTTGAGTTTATTCAATTCTGAGTCTAATAAAGAAAATTTCTGTAAAATTATATAAGAATAAACTAATATAATTAAGTTAATGAGCTAGTCAGGACCATGACATTAATATAATTTATAAAAAAAAAAGTGTCAAATTGGCGTTCTAAGTCTAAGTACAATTGAACCTCTTAACTAAAAAAAAGAGTTAATTCTCAAAAAAGTCCATCTTCAACTTCATCCATAAACTTCTCAAGACAAAGATTTCTGGCCTTCTAGTTGATTATCTCACATTTTGATTGGAGAGCAAAAACTAACCTAATTTGAAGAAATATGTGCATGCTGAAAGGAATCACATATTACTTTAAATTGGACTTCAAAATCTAAATTTCCAATTTTACCCTTCATTTTAACACCAACTTAACGCCAAAGCTAACATAGGTCCATTTTGACTTAAAATTCAAAGTCGGAAAACCATTTTGAAAAAATTAAAAGTCAAGGGACCAATTTGAGAAAAAGGCCATAGTCGTGTATGACCATTTTGGGAATTAACTCTTCAAAAAAAAAACTCAAATGAAGTATTCTAAACCAACAATATATATATATATATATATATATATATATATATATATATACATACACTACAATTACGCATTATTACTTATTCAATAAGTTAGTGTTGATGTGGCGCTAATTAGCTTAACAATTAACACGTGGCATGTTATGCTTATGTGGATTCTAAATATGTATACTACTCTGTATTATTTTATTTTTATTTTTTTAAATTTATTATTTAAAAAAAAATTTATTTTATTTTTTTTTAAAAAAATTATTTTTAAAAAACAACTATTGACTGTCTCTATTTCCACTCACGAAAAACTAGTATATGGCTATTCGTTAAAAAAATAAAGTTTCATTAATTTTGATTTTATAATTGTATTACAACGACTAAATAATATAATAACTTAATGAAGTAGTATATAGCGTATAAATGGGATGATGAGTCAATTACTGCTCAAGGCCGCAGAGATCAGTCATCGTCAGACATTCCTGTTACAACAAATTAAACATTCGACAACGACGTGAAGCTCAGTTCGTGGCATATATACATTTCAAAATTTTTTTTTTTTTAAAAAAAAAAAAAAAAAAAAAAGTCTTAAACATTCACAGGAAAAACTTAAATATTTTACCAAGTCCAATTCAAGTTAACGCGGTGCTTTTCTTCAATATTTCTGTGATTTCTTTTTAATGGTTTATACTTTTCAATTCCTAACGTTTAACGACAGTAACGATGAATAGATCAAAGTCATGTTGTGCCATAATGCGATGCATGCCATGTTGTGTTGCCCAGTTTGGATGGGAGCTTATAAAACAGACCCCTCTTTGCATTTTCTTTTCTCATCAAATTCATCTCTCATCTTTATTGTAATTCTTTTGAACCAGAAAACAAGAAGCTAAGAGACAATGGGACATAAACCTAGTATTGGAATTGGAATTGGAATTGTCTTAGCTTTTGTATCTTTTCTTCTGTTACTAAGCATCAAACCTTCCCTGCAATGGCGGCCAGTTTCACCTCCGAAAACCAACCCCGCCCACAACTCCGTTGGCACGGTGAGTGAACAGAGCTTTGCAGCTAGCTGGTTGCCGGGAAATAAAGATAATCTTTTGCTTCCGTCTCTACGACAATGGCGGAAGGTTACCCCTCCGTCATCCAACCCGGCCCACAACTCAATCGGCACCGTTACTGAGCAGAACTATGCAGCTGCGATGCCCCAGAAAAAGATGTCGCCGAATCACCTTTTCCTTCCTTCTCTGCGGCGGTGGCGGCCGGTTTCCCCTCCGTCAACCAACTCCATCGGCACGGTGGCCGGGAAAACGACTGCTCTCAAGTCCCATGGCTACTAGTTAACAATCTCATATCACATTTCACGTCCCATTACCCTAACATATTGGTGATGAGATTGCAAAACTTTATATATTCTTTAATTATATTCTCTGTTATTAAATAAAATTGAAATTAATTAATTTTAAGAATAATTAGTCAGTATGCTCAAAACATTAAACATATACTTATTATGTGACTGCATGAGCAGCTCTGTATGACCAATATAGTCACGACTGAATAAATTTGAAGCAATCTTTATTATATTTTGGAGTTATGTATAACCATGTTTAATTTGTTTAGTTATTTACTTATTTATACAGTGTGTGTATTTATATAAATGTGACAGAGAGAGAGAGATATGTGCAATTAAATTTGTGTTCTTAGTTTTCATGGTATCTATACGTATTTGCGTATTGCATGCATGCAACATTCTCAAATGCATAATGTTTTGAAGTTCCTAAAAAAAATATTTAATAATATGTCAAATAGGCCCCAAACTTACAAGTCACAACAAAAGAGTCTGACCCAAAAAAAGGTGTTTACAATTCAGCGAGGACATTAGTCACTTGTGTTCGACAGTAAAAATTCTAGGTATACCCAAAAACAATAAACAACAAAAAGAGCCCCTTGTAAGCAGCTACTTACCAATCGATCTCATAATAATAATAATAATAATAATAATAATAATAATAACTACAATAAATTTAGCAATGGATGAAATAACTATCCCTTACATAGATTTCGATTGGTGTTTATCATCAATGAAAATTTGTTTATAAATTAAATACGTACAAATTCCAATAATTTACTTATAGATTTTCTTTTGATAAATTTAATTTTTCTGTGTAGTGTATAATTTTATCAAGACTTATTGATAAAAAAGAACCCAAATATTAACACTTTGTAGCAATTATATCCAAGCCTTTAAAAAAAAAACATAGTTAGTCTGTTTGGTAAAATAGTTAGCCTATTAACCAATTTTAGTTTGTTTGACCACTAGTAATTGTTTGACTTGGTTAAAAAACTAATATAAATGTTTGGTTAATTAATTAGCTTTTTGTAATAGCTTATTACTTCAAAATGTTAAAATTCAAAAAGTTGCTCAAAGTAGCTTTTTCAATTAGATTTTTGGGAAAGTCATTTTGCATATAATCAGCTATCAGCTAAGAGCTAAATTACCAAACATGTTTTCACAATCAGTCAATATTATCAACTAATCAAACCCACTAACTTAATCAGCTAACAACTATTTATCAAACACCCCAAATATATGTATGAAAATATATGCTATAATAAGGTACAATTGTCACCAAATACAAAATTTATGTTTTGCAAAATTTTAAAGATTCGAATATAATTAACTACTACCCATGGCATGGCTTAAAGCTAAGTTTGTATTTTTCACGCCTTTTATCAATTATGCTACTTACAAGCTTAATTAATTTATAAATTATATATATGAATTTTGAATGGACTTTTCCCTTCTTTTAGTTCTCACTACACAATACTATATTTTGAGCAAATTGTTTGGGCCAACCAGTCACATGTGCAGATTATTCAACACTTTTTTTTTTTTCTTTTTTTGTTTGTTTCATACCGTAAACTTTTCTTGCTTAACGAGTTGATGACTTTTTCAACTTCTTATTAAACCTTCCCAGTCAAACTGCAGAAGGTCAGCCTATATGGTTTGAAGCTACTGCGTATATATATATATATGCCTCTTCCTCTTCCCATTTTATCATCACCACCTTCATCTCAACCCTCTCATCAATCATCTTAACATTCTTTAATTTGTCATAATTCCTTAAAACCATCAGACAAGATCGAAGAGACAATGACACGTCAACCTAGTACTGTTTTAGCTTTTGTTTCTGTACTTCTTCTACTCACCATTAAACCTCACGAAGCCTGTAGATCGGTCCCTCGTGATGACGGTGAACCGGCGTGGATGAAGAAGAAACATTATCTTTTGTTGCCACCTCTGCAATGGAAGCCGGTTTCCCCTCCGGGCGGAAATCCCGGCACCAACGGCGCCGTTAACTCGGCTACTCTCGGCGGGAAGGACTTTGCAGCTACGTCGACGCCGGGAAGTTTAAGGAAACATGTTTTGTTACCGTCTCTGTGGAAGCCGGTGACCCCTCCGACGCCCAACCCCGGCACCAACTCCGCTCTTGCCGGAGCAAAGAACTTTGCTGGTGGGTTGCTTCGTTCCCTGAAATGGCGGCCGGTTACTCCGCCGTCGAGTAACCCCGGCCACAACTCGATCGGGACAGTGAAGGAACAGAACTACGCAGCTGATGCAAAAATGTCTGCTCATCAATAGAATAATAATCTCTCTATTGATGATTAAATACTAACATTCTGATTATTAGCTAGATTATATTGTAGAATTATCTTAGCTTCCATTTATTCATTCTTTATTAATTTATTATTATTAATTTTTTTTATGTCAATTTTTTACATAGAAATAAATTATTTGATCACTGTACTCAGCACCCATCAACAAAGAGTAATGAACATATTTCACAAGGAGGTGTCTCAAAAAAAAAAATTAAAAAATCCAAAACATCACAAAATTTTGAGTTTATTCAATTCTGAGTCTAATAAAGAAAATTTCTGTAAAATTATATAAGAATAAACTAATATAATTAAGTTAATTCTGAGTCTAATAAAGAAAATTTCTGTAAAATTATATAAGAATAAACTAATATAATTAAGTTAATTCTGAGTCTAATAAAGAAAATTTCTGTAAAATTATATAAGAATAAACTAATATAATTAAGTTAATGAGCTAGCCAGGACCATGACATTAATATAATTTATAAAAAAAAGTGTCAAATTGGCATTCTAAATTTAAGTACAATTATCTCAAAAAAAAAAAAAAAAAAAGGAAGTCTAAGTACA